CATTCTTCTGTCTCTGCATCAAACTCCATACTCTGTGAAGCCTGGAGCACATGTCTTCTTTTTGTTAAATCCTTTGTCCTGGCCCAGTGTCCCACACTTCGGAGGGCTCTGTGCTTAGTTGAATGCTTTCTTACTGACTTGGAATTCCTAATACTTCTTGAACAAGGACCCTGCATTTTCATCTTGCACTGTGTCACAGAAATCATGCAATCAGTCCTGCTGAGGACACTAGAACAGAGGGAAGCCCTTTGGAGCCCAACAGGCATTTTCCTGCAGACACCACCCATAAAGGTGGGTGAGTCAGCCATAGCTCTACCCTCCCTAGCCTCACTTTGTTCCTCTCTCAAAATGGGGCAGCAAGCATTTAGCCTTGAGCACTGAGTATCACTATGTATAAAGAACCTCTGAGAGTATTTGGTACACACTAGGTGTTTGCTAAAGGAAATCCATGGGAGACAGCAGGTGCAGCAAACAGAGCTTGAGCCCTGGAGTTAAGTGCTGGGTCAGAACCAAATGACCCTACTGCTAAAAAAAAAAAAAAAAAATGTGTGACCTTGGTTAGTCGGCTCAATTTCTTCCAAGCTCAATCCCTTTGCCTATAAAATAAGAATGCTAATATTTACCTTGTCAGATTGCTTTGTGATTTAAACAATTTAATGTATCTAAAGGAACTAGTTTATCACGTGGTATCCCATCAGCGCTGAAAACTGCAAAAATCTTTAGTTTGGTTTCCTTGTTTTTTTTTTAAATATTTGTTTTACTTTTATTTGAAAGAGTTACAGAGGGAAGGAGAAACACACATAGAGAGAGAGAGACAGAGAGAGAGAGACTGAGAGAGAATCTTTCTCCATCTGCTGGTTCACTCTCCAAATGGTCACAATGGCCAGAGCTGGGCTGATCCAAAGCCAGGAGCATTCTCCAGGTCTCCCCAAGGGCGCAGGGTCCCAAGGACTTAGGCCATTCTCCGCTGATTTCCCAGGCCACAGGCAGGGAGCTGGAAGTGCAGCAGCCAGGACATAAACAGGTGCCCATATAGTATGCTGGTGCCACAGGCAGAGGTCCAGTCTACTACACCACAGTGCCAACCCCTACCTTGTTCCTTTTGTAATCCAATTTTAACATTTGAATGATTTGGGGATATGATCAGAATTTAGTTCTTATATACTACATAATTTTTTGGATATTATATTACCTACTATATGTAACCTCTTTGTATTTAAAATAACTTTGTAAACAGTATGTGTGGATTATTTTTTCTTCATTGCTAGCCAGGGACCTCCTTGAAGGCAGTGAAAATAGCTTATTTACCCTTTATTGAAAAACATTCTCACACACAAGCTAGACTCTCAGTTAAGTATATACCTCTTCTGTCCTGTAAGCCAATGATGAGATAATAGTTTTCATTACTTTCCTAAATCAATAACTAATAATCAGTCTCTCGACAGCTAGAAAGTCAGAGACCAAAAGTATCCCCAACTCTGTGCTTGGTGGTCTTTCTGCCTTGCCCACTCTGCATGGCTTAGCTCCTGTTTGCAGGGGCCTGGCATTGGGAAGCATAATCTAGCATTTTGGGCACCTAACCACCATTCCCAACAACAACCTGTGTAAGAGGCTGTGAGGAGGAGGCTCTTGGGATTCAAAGAAGCTTCAAACTGTGATCCTTAGCCATTTGGGGGTTATGGGTTCCTTTAATACTCCTCTGAGAGTTGAGGGCTTTCTCCCCAGCACACAACTTCCAACTTCTCCAGTCTGCTTGCAAAGGTGTTCTTGGAATTCCCACAGTGTTCAAGCCCCAGGCTAAGATCTTGTTTAAACAGCCCAGAAAACTCAGTCAGCAATGTGAAAGATTCAGGTTTCTTGAGGAGTTCCAGCCCTGACTAGTCACTCATCCTTGTTGAAAACAAAACAATTACAACTCCCTGGATTTAACCTCAAGGTTATCCCCTAGGGCCAAGTCCCAGGCAGGAGAGACCAAGGCTTGCAGCCAAGCAGCTGACTACTCTTTGGAGAACCCCAGCTCACTGGAGTAAAATGAAGGCCTTGTTTGATAATGTCGGTTACATTTCCAAATCCTGGGTATCAAGCTTTCTTCCTATCCCTTGTGGCCCTTCCTAAGTTTAGCCTCTGGTGTAATGGGGTAACCATGGCAACAACCACCTGCCTATTTAAAGCCATCTCCCATACTAAATAAGGAAGCTGGGAGAAAACGGCTGCTTGTCTGCCTCTCCGTGGACAAGCTGGGCACTCCTGAGTGTTTGGGACAAGGGCTAGCAGGCAGGGTAGAAGTGGCATGGACCCCAAGTTCTCAACCAAAGTGTGGGCGGTCTTGAAAAAGAGGGGTTACCTCTATTCCTCTGAAACTGGCTAATGTCCAGGACAGCTCAGGAGTCTTCGTTGTGACTCATTTCTATTTCCAGACCCTAAAAGCACTTGCTGTTCTCCGAAGTTGTCTTTCAGGTTTTCTGTCACATTCCAGGGACAGATGCAAGCCCCAGCCCCCAACACTGCAAGGTCTGGATTCTGATGCAAGAGCAAGGCCTGCAGGGATGGGTCACAAAGGTCGCCCTCTGCTGAATTTTCTATGAAGTTCTCCATCCTGAGAAGAGCGTAGCCATCGGCACCGTAACATACAACCTATGTTAGAGCGTGGTTTTGAATCGTGCCGGCATGGACTTGTGCCCATGTGATGGCAAGAACTTCCCCTCCTACATATTCATTTCCCCCTAAAATAAAATATACTCATTTCCCCTGCTTGGAGAGACACAACTTTAGAAATTACTCCTTGTGACCTCTTTATTTGCCGCAAGTAAATCACTTTATGTGCCAACTTCTTTTATGCAATTCTTAGAACTCGCCAAGAAGTGAGCCCACAATTTGTGGCTGGGTGACAAACCCTGTTTTTACTTATTAGGTAAGCACATGTATTGAAGTACACGGATTTACATGCCAGTCCCTGTGCCCTCTCATGTCATGTGGCCATACTACCTAGAGCTTCACCAGGTAAAGAGTGAGGTGCAAAGCTAACCTCAAAACTAGCCTTGCTCATGCGATCTGAGAAAAGGGAAGGCAAAGCAATAATGCAGATCCCAGTGAGTTTGTTTAAAATTTTCATTGGAATTTACACTACAATGTTATTGGTAGATATCTTTCTAAGCATTATATGTAGATGTTTGATGATTTATGCACTGACCTGTCTACTGATTTTTTTTTTTTTTGGAGTGTGGAGAAATTTCCCCCTGCCTCTGCTTCATTGTTCACTGCAAACTCTGCTTCATTGTTCACTGCAAACTAGTCAGAGTTTGCTTCTTTCCTGCAAGACACCATACAACTAACTGCAGGGAACGGCTTGCTGTGCTTTCGTTCCTTTGCATCGTGTATGTTTTGGGGGTTCTTTTTCCCTGGCCCGGGTTGCCTTTCTCATGTTGTCAACCTAGAAAATACAGGTTCACTCTCTGTATCTTGATTTGGGCATCTCTGTTGCTGGAAAACCTTCCACGCAAGCTCTCGGTCGCTGCTTTGTGTTTCCTCTATTAGGGGCTAGGTCGCTTCTATTCATATTACTTAAAAAGCAATTGCTGCACATTTGCTTTGCAGTGTGTTTCCACCTCTGTGCTGTGTGTTCCATGTACATCTATAGAATAATGTCTGGTATGTTTTCAAATGATACTGTTGAATGACTGAATGGATGAATAGACAGAACCCCCATGATTTCCCAAGCATATGGCATCTTAACAGGTCCATGTGCATGAGTATATGTGAGGGTACCTCTATGAAAAGACAAATGGAGGAACTAGGGGGAAGAGGGATTTTTTTAAGTGATTGGGAAAATGAGACTGTCAGAGGAGAATCCGTTGAACTGAAAACTTGTGATTGTTGCAGTAGGGGGCTGGAAACACACCTGTTAACAGTGTGTAGTGAGCATATAATAGGCTGTAATAGATGTACATTGGTTAAGGTTAGCTCAGCCGCTCTTATACCACACAGATCATTTCCCTGAGGTTGCAGTAGCTTCAGTGGGATCAGTTGCTGGTCCCTAAAGAGACTTTTTTCATGAGTTAACCTCCCAGTTTCTGAGGTCAAGGTAAAGAGTAGGAATGGAGATAGCAAGCTCTTTGGGGGCATTGGGCCTTAAATGCGTGTATTCTGTAACTGCAACCCCTGCTTTGATGGGAATTCTGTGAGGTAAGTAAATATCAGTCTTAGCAAGCTCAAAGGCCGAGTCCAAATTCTTATCCAGCATCTTCCCCACCTTGAAACAGTACAACAAAGAAGAAAATGATAGAAACTGGACAGTGAGAAGGAAAACAAAGAAGGGAGACAGCAATGTAACCATCTCAGGGATAGCTCTAAGCTGGTCACACATTCCCTGCCTTGTACACAAAGGGTTTGGCTTCATTTGCAAATCACTTGGCTTTCTCTTCCATTTTGTCCTTGAGCTTCTCACCCAGACTTCACATTAGGGGTACTGGGACTAGGACTTGGTGGGGCCTCTCCAGCTTGTTTGCCTTTTCCTGGCCTTTATGCTGTTGGGGTAGCCAGAAGTGACACCCTCCTGCTTCTCCCAGTCCAAGCCACTTGATCCACAACAAACTGAGGTCCCCTCGCCCCCGCCCACCTCTCCTCCCAAAATGATTTGCAGGCCCTTGGGGGAGGAGGTGGTGTTCATCTTCAGAAGGCAGAGAGCCCCAGAAGGGGCTGCTGTGAGCCAAGAGCACACTTCTCAAATCTGAATGCTCCCTCCCTCCTCTCCTGCCCCGAATCTCACATCTCTCTGTACAGATCCTCTGGGAGGGGACAGGTGGCCAGGCTGAGGCAGATTTCTGATTTATTTTTTCCTTCTCAGAACTGGAAATCCTCCTTCTGGCAACATATTGGGAAAGTGAATCAGGAAAGTGAGGTGCTACAAATGCTTGCATGAGAGCAGGTGGGAAGCCATTGTGAGACCTGCCTCGCTGCTTGGGGCTGCAGAGCTGCTCGGCCAGCAGCAGGAGCTCTCTTACCTGCTGTTGAATTTTTCAGGGTGTTTCTCTCTCATTATGTGGAATCTGTGAGCAATGGAAGCATCCTAAAAGGGAAAGAGATGAAAGCAGATGCCTGGTTAGTGATCATGGCCTGTGCAGCATGGGGAAGGAACCGCAGGCATCCTCACTGGACCTCCCAGACTTTATACCACAGCTCCACACCATGCTCAGTGATACGAGCCAGAGCCACCTGTATTCCTAAGACCTCTGTCAGTTGTCCTGGAGCCCTTGCAATGGCCACTCTGCCCTTGACCCAAAAGTGAGAATGAGAGATTAGGAATGGTCAGACCCAGAAGTGCATGTTTAGGGCTGAGTTTGAGTGCTTGGAAATAACTTAATGCATTCACTTTTAAAAATTTTTTAATCTGCAATATTCTACTCCCCCAAAGTTGTAAAAATTGCACAGAATCCCTATGTCTCTTTTACTAGCACTCTCCAAGGATAACAGCTTAATAAAACCTTTTTTCATGATCAAAATCATTGACCTGACATTGGTAGATGTTACTGTGGATTAACTCTGAGTTATCCATATCAGTAGAAATAATTGATGTAATTGGACCATATACTTAGTGGACAATAAACAAGTAATTTAACCAAGGTAAGCTTTATGGATCTGCACCTAGAACTGCTGCAGGTACAACGTGCATTCGGAAGAGGTTGTCCCTGAATGGAAGTGCACTGAGCATTTGATAGAGTTTACATGGATGTTATCCTTGAGAATGGTCTACAAATGAAAATATGTTGTAAATCCTGTAGTAAGAAGCAATAAAAGGGTTTTTACCCTTTTGGTCTTTGTCTCTTCATCACTCAATTTGAAATTCTCTCTGCAAGATCAGCAAAAAGGGTCATTCCCATATCTTATGGACTCTGGTATGTCTAAGGGTACATCCCCTTGCTGTACCACTGGCCACCTGTTTCCAGCACTCATGGTTAGGATGGCTCCCATGATACCATGCTTCAGTGCAGTCCATCCTGTGACTAACACTGCTTAGTCCTCAGTCCTAACTGCAGTCTTGGGCCATCCCACAAGTTTCCATGATTGGTACTAGATGCCAGATGCTGATGGAGCCATAGTCTGGTTCCAGAACCAACCCTGGGCATCAGCTCTAAGACTGAATTCATTTTTCCACCTCAGACTTCCTCCTTGTGAACGGATCTATCTTCCAGCAGAAGAACATGTGTCTTCCTGTACCATCTTGGCACGCCCAGCCAGCTCTGTGAGCATAGGCACCTGGCTGTTTAGGTTGGAGATGGGAGTGTTCCAGAAACAGGCGTGCTGATTACCATTGTTTCAGGTACAACAACCAAAAATACAGAAATTCATTTTCAAGGATAGCTGGCCAAAAGATCACTTTCAGCTTAGTGCCTACGAATTCCATTTCCTAGTAAGGAAACTCGACAAAAGCTACATTTCTGAGAAATAATTTTTTTTTGCCCAAGGGAGTGCAGTTCGGTGTAGACACTCCTCGAGCACACACGGTGTGTCGGGAGCTGCACTTGGCACAGGAGTAAGCTCAGCCAGCTCGCCTTGGCAAAGTGGGGAGGGTGAGTCTGAGGTGGCGAACAGTCGTTGCTGAAATAATGTCTTAGGAGCTGAGCAGTTCAGCTTCAGCTAGCTATTGAGTCTTTTCCATTACAGAGCACATCGTGTCACAGGCCTTGGTAAGGCCCTTCTGTGGACACAGAGTCAGGAGGAAGTGCGTGAATCGTTGCTGTGAGTCTGACCTTAGCTGGCCCGGACAGCTTCTCTGAGCAGAGGTATCTCCTGCTCCCCGACTACACCCATCTCTCTCTGCTGAAACAGTTTCAACCAACAGGCACAATAAGATTTGTGTGACATTTATCAAATGCTTCTCTGGAATTCAAGAAAACATTCCATCTATGTGTTCCTTTGAAGCACTAATTTTCTTCTGTCAGAAGAAGAAAAAAAAAGAAAAAGCAATCATATGTCGCCTGAAGCGACTGACACCTCACCACCCCACGCCCAACACTGCTCTCGTTGGCTTCTGCTTTTTCATTCTCTGGAATACAAACGGCCCTGCAGAGTTCTGATGGCCCTTGGCTTTCCACAGTTAGCTTTTGCAAGGCTTCTTTCCACCAAGACCAGCCTTGACAGCACCATCCTTGTCAACACCAAGGAGTCAGGAGCAGCTTCTTTGCTCAAAGTCTTTGTTATTTTTCATTATTGGAAAATCAGATATGCAGAGAGGAGGAGAGAGAGGGAGAGGAATATTGTCCATTTGTTAATTCACTCCCCAAGTGGCCGCAACAATTGGAGCTGCACTGATCTGATGCCAGGAGCTAGGAGCTTCCTCTGGGTCTCCCACACATACAGGGTCCCAAGGCTTTGGGCCATCCCCAACTGCCTTCCCAGGCTATAAGCAGGGAGCTGGATGGGAAACGGGGCCACTGGGACACAAACTGGCACTCATATGGAATCCTGGTGCATACAAAGTGAGGACTTTAGCCACTAGGCTACCACGCCGAGCCCCTGCTCTAAGCCTTAAGAGGATGACAGCAATGCTGACTTTTACCTGAGAAGATAGTGAAGGTTCCTGTTCACGCTCTTGATTTTCTCTGGGTCCAGCACTGGCTGGGTGTATTATAATCACTAGTGTTCTCATCTCAATTTTGAATCACACAGTTGCAGTGATCCAAACCCTTGTTTGATAGCCATGACAGCCAAAAGAGACCTGTTCTGAGGGAGGGAGGTGAGAATCGCAATCCCATGACTACGCCACCACTGGGGGTCTTTTCCACGAGGCCCATCAGGATGAAGAGGAGAAGGTGAGAGGCAAGATAACTCCAAGCACATGATAGGACAAAGAATTGTGGGTCCCTTTCAAATGTAAGCAGCACTTAATTGGGCTCCAGCAGAAGAACATGTGTCTCCCTGTACCATCTTGGCATGCCCAGCCAGCTCTGTGAGCATAGGCACCTGGCTGTTTGGGTTGGAGATGGGAGTGTTCCAGAAACAGTCCAGACCAGTGCTATCTGATAGAAATACAGTGGTTGCCACATGCATTACTTAACTACAGCAGTCATGTAAAAACATGAAACTGATAAAATCCATTTAATAGTATCTTTTAATTAACCCATGATGCCCCAAATATTACCATGTAATGTGCAATCAAAATAAACCCAATTTATGTTATTTTAAATCATTTTAATCACATATTTTTGATAGTTGATAGTGGTTATTTTAGACTTAACAGCACACCTCAATTTAAACAACTCTATTTCAAGCCTATAAGGGCCACATGTGACTCCTAAGTTCCAAAATGGACAACTTTGCTCCAAGTCACTTTGACAACTTATGGATGTATGGACGTAATAGGGCAGATTATTTGAAATTTGAAAAAGAGTGTAGAGTCTGTGTCCAAGTTCTTCCTCAGAAATCCCATTCATCTGAGACCCAGCATTAAGAGAACTCAGAAGTTTGTTGGGACAATGAAGTTGGGTTGACAGATTTCCTAACTGTAAGAGGTTTCTCATTGTGAAGAACTTGACCAGTGAAGGTGAATGCTATGGATGCTCCTGCTCTGTGGGGTGGAAGATGGTGTGTGTGGCCTCTCCATGGCCTCAGGGGCTCTGGCAGCAACTGAAATAGACTTCATTGAATCAAGGGATTAGCTGTCCACCCATCTTGTTGAGGCTCAGTGAAAGCACAGCCGGTGAGGTTGAGGGTTACGCATACCCCAGGCATTATTTGGTAGTTCTGAACTTCCTGTCACCGCCACCTGATCATCCTGGCACTTTTGCTAATCCAGAAATAAAGAGCAGAGAGGAGGAAGTCAGACAAGTCAGAGGAAGTGGCACCCTGAAGGATTACCTTTCAAGCCTCTTGCCAATGGACATTATCAGTTAGAAGGACTGATGGATGAGGCTAACTCCTATGAGTCCTTACTGGTGGAAAGCTGGGCGGTGTGGATGGGGATGTGGTGGCAATGAGGCTATGGACACTCGCCAGATAGGCCAGGGCTGTCTGCTTTATATATCTCCTCCACTCAAGACCCAATAGAGTAAATCCACCCAGGCAAAGGCTGATCCACAGCAGCTGGGAGTATGCACTGTCATCAATGCCTTAGCTATAGGGCAGAAGACACCTGATACCAATGAGAAATTCCAGGTCCTTATGAGGAGGCCAAGGTTTTGCAGGTCCTTACTTCCAACCAGCTGCACATTCAACCATCACTAGGAAGTAAAGCTGGATCGGTTTACATACCTATTTCTTCTCTTACAAAGTTGGGGAAGTCAAACAGGGAACAAGACCTTCTACAAATGTCAGCCCCTGGCTCCATGAAGACTGGGAATTGGTGACTTGTTTTCTGAAGCAATTCTGTTTCTGGCGCTGAAAGAGCGAGCATATAAACTGTGCAAATAGTTCACTGAGAGAAGGGTAAAGGTCCAGCAAAAGATGAAACCAATCCTGGTTCAACACTCCCCAGCCATGGGACGCTAAAGGCACAGGAGACAAAAAGCACAGGAAACAGTTGAGGAGGATGGACTGTGAAGTTCTTCATTATCTGAAAGATGCACAGATTGCATTATTGGAGTCAGGATGGAGAAACACCTTGGCCACTGAGGGTGATGGAGAAGCTGTTGTAGGTGTTTCCTCGGTGGGGGAGGGGGCTCACTAGCCCATTTTCCTCCTGCTTTCTCTTCCTTCATTCATTCACTTGTTCCTTCCTTTCCTTCTTTACTTCCTGGAAGCCTTCCTTGACCCATCTTGGCCTTTTGGTGGAGACTTGGCTGCATAGCTAAGCCCAGCTTGTCTTTCCCTTTTTTTTTTTTTTTTTGCTGTGTTCATCCATTGGGCCAATAAATGCTGGGGGGTCTGATATGAGGCACTGTTTGGAGCCAGCTGGGGAGAAATTGCAGACTGAAGTGTTGCTATCATAACTTCTGAGTATGTCAACAAAGGGGCGAGTTGGAGCTGTGATTCTGAAAGCAGCTGCTGTGGCACAGGCAGCCCAGCCAGAGGTCATGGGGCTTGGCTGTTGTAGGGAGGGGCTCCGGCCTTTCCTCCTGCCGTTCAGCTCCCCTCTCCTTCCTTTCATTCAGTGCTGGTTTCTGGGCCTGCAAAGTCTCTGCTCCAGGGCTTGTCTTCATTCTCTGAGGACTTGGTCAGCACACCCTCAATCAGAGTGATCTCGAGGCGTGTTCGGCCTGCTAATGCCAGACTCGGCCAGATCTGCTGAGTCAGTGTGAATCTGCCAGTGTGGGTGGGGGTTGGAACTGACATTTCTGCAAAGGTGTGTAGGGGAGCCATCCCACTGTGCATTTGGAGAAACCCCCTCCCTCACTGCAACCAGTGGTATTTTGGGCAGCATAAGGATGGAGGGGACAGTGCAGGGGCCATGTGGCTCGGCAGCCCACAGCACACAAGCAGGTTCTGGAACCTCAACTGAAGGTTCCAGGTGCTACCTCTCAGTGCCTTGGGTTTATTTCTGTAGTTCTCCACACTGTGGTTCCTTCTTAACACCAATGAATAAGGGCTGTATCTAGCAACATGCATGTGAGCAAGTTGTGCCCTGGTTATCATGGCAACGAAGAGACACCCACGCTCCAGAAGCACCTGACGTGTCAATCACATCCGCCTTGCAGGAGTCAGTACTGACTGAAGGGCTCCTGCCAGGGAAGTGGAGCTGAGCAGGTGGCTCAGAGGTAAGAAGCCTTGGATCAGCAAGCAGAGGGATGTGTTGGCTGCTGTCTCTGGATGGTGACCCAGAAGAGGTATAGGGCAAGGTATGCCCATGAGGGTGGGGGTGAAGGATAAAGAAGACTGGGGTGCAGAAACCCCACGGGGGTTCCTCACTTGTCACCTCCCTCCCCTTGGAACCTGATCACCAGCCCAACCAATGCCACCCCATTTTGTTTTAGTTATAGAAGAGGAGCACTGGATTAGGAGTCAGAAAATGAAGGCAGATTCCTTTATCTGAGCCTTCGATTTCTCCCTTTAAAATAGAGTTAATGGATACCCTGAGGGTCATCATAAAAACCAAGCAAACACCTGTCCTCTCCTGTGATCCTTCTTTCAGCCCTCTTATTAAAAAACAAGCCCATTCCTTATATCTACAAAAGCTGCTTATATATGTTGCCTTCCTCCTTGAAAGCCACTATCATGTTTTCAAAGGTGACACAGGTTTCATTTATCCCTGAGGAGTGCAGGGGTCACCCAGTCGGACCCAGAGGACAGTGGCAGCTGTAGGACTGCTCTGAGGACGGTGGCAGGCACACAGCAGATGCCCAACAGACACTCATGTCCTTGCTGTAGCCCTTTCCCCAGCCTCTGCTCCAGTTACAGAAATCACTGATTTGCTCTACCCCTCTTCCAGCTCGGTTCCAATAGCCTGGGAAGTGGTGGTCGCTCTAGTCTTCTTTGGGCCAGATGCTTAGTTCAGTGGAACCAATGGATCAAGCTATAGTAGATGCACTGGAGACTGGGGGACAAGAAGGGAACACTGTCTTGTTCTTGCACTCTGCAGCAGATCAATCTCTGTGTCTTTATATACAGGGTGTGGGGCAGAGTGGATGGCAGAAGAGACACGGGGACGTTGGAAGAGCATGGTGCTCGGCTCAGCAGGGTCAGCAGGAGAAGCTGCTCCTGGCTCTCTAAAGCCCTTGGAGTGTGTATGATGGGGTTGGGAGGAGGGAAGGAATTCTGTGGGCTAGCTCAGCAAGTCTAGCTTGGGACACCACCATCCTATTCAGAGGGGTGGCATTCTCAGCTCTGCAAGTACACATGAGCATCTCCCATCTCCTCATGTGCTTTTGCTTTCAATGCCTCCATCCCAAAGGGTAAATTGGTCTTGAACATTTTCCAGTCCTTTCCTATGTGAGTCAAAACGACAGGGAGAAGACTTTTCTCCATAATCAAGGGATGAGGAAGTAAGAGTGGGTATGCACAGGTGTTCAATCCTAGGCTACCTTTGAGGAAGGCCAGGTCAAGGGGGAGGGCCAGGAAGGACAGATGAAGAGAAGAGGCTCAGAGAGGACAAAGGGAGACTGGGCCCCTTCCTGGCATTTCTCTCCCACGCAAATGACCCCTGATCAACTCACCACGCCAATGGAGAAGTAGTTGTTCATGATGCTGTATGGGACTTGGTCTCCATTCCCCACCTCCTCTCTGGGGAGGACCTCAAGGTGCCAACGGTCGAGCATCACCAAGGGACTCTGTTCGATGTCCTTCAAGATCTTTGTCAAGCTGCCCCCTTCGTACCCTGTGGAGGACAGTATGGTGTTGGCTGCCACAGCAGAAAGGCCCAGCTGTTGCTCACCCACACACATGGCCAGCAGTCACTTGTGACATGGAGCCTGCCCGGTGTGCCTGTGCCTGGAGGTGCTTATGCTCCTGCAGCAGGGCAAGACAGCAGGAAGCAGGCAGAAAGAGAATGGGGTCAGCTGAAAGCTTGAGTTTGGGGGATGGGGAGGGTGGGGTGGGTGTGGGGCAAAGCTGGACAGGTCCTTATAGTTGAAGCGAATCTTAGAGAACTTCTGGGTTAGGTGGCTGGGAGATGATAGGATCACTCCAGGACTGGGCTGTAGGGGAGCTGGACTGCATGGTGGGCAGAATTCTAAGATGGGTCCCAGGGCAGCCTTCTGCTTGCTCTGGCCATGCCCATCTCTGAACACTGGCTGCTGCCTAGCCTGGTCCTGGGTCACTCCCTGAAGCCAGCCATCTGCCCCTGTCCCACCTCTGCCTACTGCACTGACATGCCTACTCCACATAGAGAGCTGAATTTCCCCACTCCACAGCAGGTGCAGCTCCATGCCAGCTCGCACAGTTCTGCTTAGCACCCGTACCTGTCTTGGAGACCCAATACTACTCTGTGATCCCACTGGGCACATTTCAAAACAAAAGCTGGTGGCCTTGGGAGCCCAGGAGAATCTGGATGTCCCCAGTGACTCAATGTCCCTAGGATGTAGCATTTCTCTCATGCTGAGCTCAAATTCGGAAAAATCAGTCATTTAGGGGCTCCTGCTTCAAACACCTGTCTCCTTGAGCCTCTACTGGGGTAAGGCCTGTGGGGGGAGGTGGTGAAGGAGACGCTGTCCTTACCCAGAGGTTGATGACATCCTATCCTGTGGGAGGCAGGCCCCAAGCTGACAGCTTCCGGGTCATAGTGAATATGGGGAGGGGAGAGCAAAGCCCAGAAAAGCAACTGCTCTTCCAGGCTCAGCACAGAACGGAAAGCAGGGGTCACAGGTGGGAGATGCCAGCAGAGCTCGTTGGTCCCTACAGGCTGAGCTCCACCCTGCTCTGTGTGGCATCCCTGTAGACTTAACCCTTGTTTTCAGGGGAGCACCGCTCTCCTGGAACTCACCTCCTCCCCAGCGGAGACACCGGGCAAGGTCATTTCCGGTTCCAAGAGGGAGGACAGCCACTGGCGGATGCTTTGTCAAGTTGGCCTTGTCTGCAGGGATAAAGAACGATGGCCATGTTACTCCAGGAGGTAAGTGCTATCTCGGAGGCTCTGGTGTGATGCTCAAACCTCCCCAGACTACCTCTTCACTCTGATTCCCTTCCAGGACGGGGAACACCTACTTCCAAATGTCATCTCTTCCATCTGCAGAGTGTTAACTGCTAGCAATGCAGCTAAATATGTCAATGTTAATTTCTTACTAAGCAAAATCTGTCTCCCTGTAACTTTCACCTGTTTATCCAAATCTCGTCTGACTCCTGCCCTTTAGGGTGGCAGCCCAAAGACACCAGTTTGTGTGGATTTAATCCTGACAAGTAGCCAGCACTGACCCTCATTAGCCCTAAGACCAATCCTACAAGGCATTATTCTTCTCCCTGGAGATGAAGAAATTGACATTTAGAGAGGGAAAGTTATACTAAAGTCAGCTCTCTGTTTTCCAACTCCAATCTCCGTTTTTCTGGGCTAGCAGGGGTATAGGTTACTAAAACAGATGGGTCTGAGACATGATGGAATTTGAAAAACAGCTCACCTCAAGCCATTTCATTTTAAAAGTTTTTTTTAATAAGCCAGGGGCTTATTTGGCACGTAGACCAGCGAGTCAGCTCCACCATCTTTAAAACCTGCAGCTCCACAGAGTCCTACCCCTTTCTCCCTGAATGCCATGGAGGAGCCTCAGATGGGCTCACTGCAGGACGGGTTTCCAACAGGCCCCAGATGTGGAACAGTTGCTGGCAGGGCTGGAAAGGTACCTTTATCTACGGGGCACCTGCTGGGCTCTAGCAACATGGCACCCCTGGGGGTGAGCACCTTGAGCTGGGGTTGGAGGAGATGCAGGGAGGAGCAGATTAGCTTCACGCCAGGGCTGCTCACAGATCCCCCATAGTGGTCTGACCTGTTTCAGAAGCAGCAAAGGTCAGGTCTGATCCAGGGCTGCAACCAGCACCAGAAGGGTAGAGAGGGAGCCTGGAGCAGTGCAATGGCTTCCCTGCTGTCCCCAGGATAAAAGATTCCAGTTCATGTCTCCTGCCTGTTCCCCTTGTCCCTCTTCTGGGGCAGCCCTTATCTCCACAGGTAAAACCTCCTCTTGATGTTGAGGCTATACATCTGATTGTCTTGCCAGATTTCCCCCTCTCTCACCCTACAAGCACCTACACACCACTTTCCATGATCTGTCTTCTAGTCTTCCTCTCTGTCCCCATGGCAATGCCTCAGGATGCCGTGTGGTCCCTCTGTGTGCCCCCTCAGCTGCCTGCTGCAGCCCCTGAATGTGTTCTGCACAGTTCTATATCAAAACTGTGGCACCCACATGGGGGTCCGCTGTTCCCACCTGTGCCTGGGCCCCCTCATCCCTTCATGTGTCCTTCCTGGCCTCATCCTTTCCCACATCTGCCCTCATACCAAGTGGCATCCATTCTGGAGTGTTTTCAGCTCCCTGCATCCAGAAGCTGTCTCTGGAAGGCCCTCAATGCTTGTCCCAGCCTGGGGCTAGCTCCTCTGCAGTGTTCACCTGACACCAGGGTTGGCTTCACCTCACTCCTGTAACTTATTTCCCTATCTGTGCTGCAGACTTCCCGGAGGGAACCTGAGGTATGCTTATCATCACACCCCACAAGTGTCTGCAGAAGCAGACACCGGGGTGCCAGCTGCCTTGTTAAGGGCTGCAGCTCCGGGCTCAGGCTCATAGAGTACCTGTGGTCCAGTGGAAGAGACCAATGCTGGCTAACAAGGTCACTGTGTGGAGAAGCATCAGGTCACCTTCCTACAGGAAGGGAAAGGAGGCCTTGTAGGAAGGTGACCCTTGCTGAAGCAGAAGGAAGAATAACTTGTGCAAAGATCTCAAGGTGGAAACAAGCCCGGGGCATCCAGGGGCCTGAGACTGGGGCTGGGTGACATGGAGGCCTGAGGGAGAAGCAAAGCTAGGTGAGTGGGTGGGAAACAGCCAGGCTACCCATCTGAGGTTCTTTTTTGGGCTTCCATCCTAAGAATAATGAGAGGCCATGGTTGTGCTCCGTACACAGCATGAATTCATTGGTATGCATGGAACAGCATACCAATGGTGGGCAGAAGAGATCTGAAGGAAAGAGCACTGAACAAAGCCTTCACATCTGTTGAATGACTAAATGAGCACAGGATGAAGGTACTCTTTTTCGCCTCTGCCTTTTGCTCCCCTTCAGGTCATTAACCTGTGAGAAAACCCGTTTCTTCGACCTCACATGCCTTTCTTTCTGCTTTGAAAACTTCTGCCCTGGGGTATTCTGCAGATGGGGTTTCTAGAACATTCCACCCAAGCCCACTGTCTTCCTCAAGATGGAGAGGAAGTGAGTGAGTAGCCTGATCCCCCAGCAGTCCACCTGCCCTCTGTGCATTAGCTCCTACAAACCCCTCCCGAGCCCCAGGTGACAGGGAGTGTGGGTGGCTGCTCGGCAGGGCTGTGTCTATGGAAACCCAAGTATCTGTGGGGGAGCGGTGGGCAGCAGGTGTGCTGGGAGGTGGGGTGCAGGCGTAGCTCTCTCACCCCTCCAGGTGGTCCTGCCTTCACCCTGGAGCTCTGGTTCAGGCTTCAGTCCTGCACTCCTCTTGACCTGCTTGGTTCTCGCTGTTGTCTCACCTAGCAAGTCTGGTTGCCTCCAACTTCCGCTGAATCCAGGAGCTACCCTCTTCTCCCCACCTCATCTGCCTCCACCGTGATCTGAACCCCACGGATTCCTGCAGTGGCTTTGACATGACATGGGTTTCCATGCCTCTGTCCTTTTCTTTCCACTGGTCGGGTTCCTCTCTGCTTAAAACCATCCGATGTCTGGGGACACTCCCAGATGAAGCCTGATTCCTCACTGTGTCCTGCATGACCTGGGACATGGCCCTCAGCCCTTCTGCTTCATCCAGAGTGCTGCAACCCCAGGACTCTGGCCTTGCTGAGTTCGTTCTGCCTGGACCTCTTGCCTTTCAGGGACAGAGATGGCCCACCCCTCCTCTGCCTCTCCATGCGAGCATCCTCTTCTCCATGAACTCTCCCCTGCCCACTCACTTCACACTGTAACTCCACTCCACCTGGGAGCTCCCTGTGCCTGTCCCCTGCCACTGCTTTCCTTCGTTCTCTGTTCTGTGCCTGGCTCTTCCCTCTCCAGAGGGGAAGCTTTGTGGGCACAGGGTTTCATTATTTCACCCTCACTACCTTGAAGGAAGCTTGGCTCATGGAGATGCAGCCCGAGACATCCGATTCTAGGCTGTCTCCAACCCCCACGCCTGCCCCCACCCTGCCCCAGGCCCTCGCTCAGCAGCATTGCTGGGCTGTGTTCCACAATGCCACGTGTCTATGGGCCCTCGTACAATGGGCTTGAACGTGGCCCCCAGCCTAGCAGTTTGCAGAGTTGGTGTCATCACTCACAGACTGGGGGTGATGCCAGGAGTCTGGACCTTGGCAGAGCTGGGTTAGAACTCAGGCCTGCAGTGCCACAGCCAGGGCCTCCCCATGGCCCTTCTGATTTCAGTGAATGCACAGGGACTGGTGGGACCTGCCTCTGCTTTCCAGACAGGAGCTCTGGATGCAGGCTCTGGCTGTGAATGCCAAGGTGCCAGGTCCTGGGCTGGGCATGCAGCCTTCATCCGTCCCCTCTCAGTCCTCTTCTCCCACACCAGAGCTGTCCCAGTGTGCGCCGACAGAAACCTCGGCTATGACAGCTGTCTTTTTAAGGCCAGGCCTGAAACTGAGCTGTCATCTCTGTATCTGTCGATGTATTCCCAGCTGTCTTCTCTTTCCTTTTTTTTCCTTTTCCCCACCCAAAAGAGATGTATTGTCAAGCACCATCCAAAGGGAGAATACAAGGACAACCAAGGCACGGTTCTAGTTTTCTTGTTTTGATTGCCCTCTGCTGACTTGAAATATACCTGCTATAAATATACACCAGGGTCCTCCCATCCCATTCTTACCAATGCAATCCAAAATCCAGCCAACTGTCCCGTCTCCACCGCAGGCCAAAACACGGAAGTCGGGAGTATCTCGGAAAAAGTTCAATCTGGAAAAGAGAGGACAGGCCAACATGGTCTTGTTGACTGGGCTGTGGCTGACACTGGATACGGGTTGAGTCAGCGTCTCTCCGGTTGCCTGGGATTGTGTTAAGACCACAATTGCCTTGGGGGTTGGAAGGGCCAGGGAGGCTTCCGAGACCACAACACACTGCTCAGAGCGGCTGAGCGTGGAGAACATTTCGGGGGGCTGTCCTTGGCTGAGGACAATTCAATTCCACAATCAATAATACTAAGTGGCTTTCTAGAAATTTTCTGGGTTTAGTGCAGAGGAACCCACAGAGTGTGTGCACCCTGATGCTCTGGCTTATCCCCGCTCTCCTGTCTGTGCTGTCCTCATCATCTCCCCACTAAGTGAGAGGCGCGGGACTGGCTGGAACTTTGCTTTGTTCCTCTGGGGGTCCACAGCTAAGTGCAGGAAGCACCCTTCTCTGTTTGGGAGTCTTAACAGGGCTTATGTTGTTTTCTTAAGACATTAATTTTATTTGAAAGGCAGAGTTACAGAGAGAGGGGGACCCCCGCCCCTGCAACACACAGACACGGACCTTCTATCCACTGGTTCACTCCCCACTAGCTGCATTGGCGGGAGTTGGGCCAGCAGAAGCCAGGAGCCAGGAGTTTCCTCCGGGTCTCCTGTGTGGGTACAGGGTTCCAAGCACTTGAGCCAGCTTCCACTGTTTCCTACATATATTAACATGAAGTTGGACTGAAAGTGCAACAGCTGAGACTTACTATGACCCAGTGGCAGCTCCAAGAGTGGGGCTCTTAACCTGGGGTTGCTCACCCTCCCAGAATTCAGAGGACTGCAAACTTGCAGGAGAAAATATTTCATCTTACTTTTTTAAAGCTCTACTTGAAATTTCACATTTCTTTCAACTGTGAAAGTAGCCAACAAGCCAGAGAAGTCTGAGCAACATCTGTGATGCTTGTCAGCAGTGGGGATCATTGATATTTATGATTAGCAGAAACATGATCAATTATGCTTATCAATGGCTTGAATTCAAAGAAGGTATGACATGTACTCCTGGATCTCAATAGTTCAGACCCTGGTCAACCTGTGCTTCAGAGCAAATGTGACCTGTGGGCATCTTAGGGGGAACAGGGACGCCGAGGGCCAGCACTTCCTCTCCGCTGGGCCTGGCTGTCTGAGAAGACCCCCATGCCATCCCAGCCACTGCTATCCCTTCCCCACAACTCTGGCAGAACTCTGCTTCCCTGTAGGAAGGGAACTCTGTGTGGACGGCTGCCTCTGGCCAAGCTGGCACTCACAGCAGCCCAGCAGGAGCCATCCAGGTACCAACACACTGGGCTGGAGGAGGGCTTGCTGGAGGAGGGGTTCCAGTATTGAGACATGCTGGGAGAGAGTGGCTGCGAGGGCGGTTGTGCGCCATCGTTCCAACACACACCGAGCTCAGTGGCGGCCACTGGCAATTAGGTGAGGATGCCTGCCAGCAACCGTGGAATCAAGGTGGGCTCAGTTTGGGTGTTCTTACAGGGAAATCATGGCAGGTGTCCTGATTGCATTTGTCTTTTTCTCTGTTTAAGCGAGCCTGGTACTGTCACCTCCATAAACAATCGCTTCGTGAGCCCGTCCTCCTGCCAGACTGAGAGTTCTTGCAGAGCCCAACAGAAACGTGAGTGAAGAGGTGGTTTGGGCCAAGAGGCTGAGGGCTAGAAAAGCCCAGGACCCCAAACAAGAGCCCCGGGTCCGAGAGCGGCCAGCAGGTGGCTCCAGTGCTCTGCTAGAGCTCTGGGCCAGCAGTGGGAGAGGCTGCTTTCTCTCCTCTCACTGCGCCCTTATTTCCAGCACTCAGCCCAGGGGCAGGGAAATGGCTGATAGGCAGCTATCTGAATCCTGAAATGCACCCCCTCCCGTGAACAGAGACCCTGCAGAACTCAGGGTCACTGTAAGGCTTTCTGAAACACCCATTGGTGAAGCAAAAAAAAAAAAAAAAAAAAAACCCTGTTCTGGGGGTCTGAGTCCTCCATGACTGCTAACACAGGCTTGCAAATCAGTGGAAACAACCCACCAACTCCTGCTGTCAATCAAATGCATCGGAGATGTACTTTCTTTCTCGGACAGTCAGCCACCTTTTTTTGGGGACAAAGTACTGGTGACTGACTTCTTAGCGTTAGCCATGAAGGGTGATCTCAAGGGCCTGGTGCCATGGGTTAGTATACTAAGCTTCCACTGGCACTGCCAGCATCCCATATGGTCACTAGAGTCCTGGCTGTTCCACTTTTGATCCAGCTCCCTGCAAATATGTCTGGGAAAGCAGTGAGGGTAGCCCAAGTGCTTGGGCCCCTGCAGCCACATGGAAGACTCAGATGAAGCTCCTGGCTTCCTCTAGCCATTGAGGACATTTGGGGAGAGAACCACAAGACAGAAGATCTCCCGGCCTCTCCTTCTCTCTGTAATTCTGGCTTTCAAATAAATAAGCTTTTCAACGGGAGTGGTCCCGAGTCCCTCCAGCTGGAGTGAGTGGGATGTAGGGAAAGAAGAGAAAGCAGTTTGGTCAGGGTGGATGAGTTGGGAGAACCAAGGGGTCCAAACACTGACAAAAGGTGTCTTCTTCAGAGATGAAGAGAGAAGAGTTGTGACCGTACCCTGGAGTGGGTCCCCCGTTGTCCAGATTGAAAACTTGTTTGGGGTTGAGCAGATAGTGGAATTTCCGGAGAATTCTGTGGCAAAAAAGGGGGGTGGAGAGATGGAGAAGTCATGTGAGGACAAACCAATACCCCCCCGGAGGACCTGTGGAGGACCTGAGCGGCCATGGGAAACTGACAGTGGTCCCATGCCAGTGGCCCTGGGCATCATGAGAGCCCTTACGTCCTGGCCCAGGGCCCAGGGCCACCCCACCCCTCATTCTCTGGAGCACCACGTTGCCCCTTGCAATAGGACACAGCAGGAGACCCAGTGAACAGAATTTCCATCCTCAAGCTTTCCTCCCTGTGAAGATTTCTTCCAGGTGCTTGACTCATGGGCTGAGAGTGAGGTCCCTAGATATAGAACTGAGGCTATCAGGAAACGCAGGGCAGGCTCTTGGCCTCAGCTTGGGATGCCTGCATCTCATGTCATAGTGCCTGTTCCCAGTCCCAGCTCTGCTCCTGACAGCAGCTTCCTGCTTCAGGCGCACACCAGGAGGCAGCAGGCATTGGCACAAACAGTTAGGTTCCTGCCGCCTGTGCAGTGATCGAGACTAGACTGAACCCAGGCTCCTGCCTGGCCCAGCCCTGGCTATTGCAGGTCAGACGGAAGGGCATTCTCTCTCTCTCTCTCTGTCTTTGGAATAAATATCCCTTCTACACATACTTTTTCTTTATTTCTTTACTTTTGAAGAGGAGACATGGCAGATGAGACGAGGAAGGGAAGGCTGAGAGAGCTTGCTGAGGCTTGGCTCAAGGCTGCAGCAGGAGACTCTGACCATGCTGCTTGGAGACAGACACCCCATCCTGCCTTGGACGGCGCTGGGATTCCTCATGGATCTTGCTTTAACTCTACTGATTGTGATGTTTTCCTCTGGCTTTCTGAGTACCATGCTGTCAGAACTGAACAGGTCTGGGGGACAGAAGCAGCTCTCCCTGGCCTCCCTCTGCTTAGCAATGTCCCTCTGCCAGCCAACTGGGCATTTCCTTCACCAGCGGGCCTGAGCAGGGAGCCCGTCACATCTCCTTAATCAAGAGATGTCTTGGGAAGGACAGACATTGAGTACAGGGTCACAATGCCCCTTACAACCCTGGCATCCTGTATCAGAATCCCTGGGCCTGAATCCCGGCTCTGGCTCTTGACTCCAACTTCCTGCAAATGCACATCCTGGGGAGTAGCAGGTGATGGCTCCAGGGATGGGGGTCTCTGCTGACCTACGTGGGAGACCCAGATTGAGTCCTGGTGCAGGCCTGGCCCTTGCTGGCATTTGGTGAGTGGATTGGTGAATGAGAGCTTTTGTTCCTTCTCTCTGTGACTTAAATAAACAAACAAAGGAACAGGCACCCCAGGACTTGGTCAGAGCCTCATGGGACAGTTCCTGTTGTCTATTGTCATTCTTGTAATGAACCCAGGAGAGGGGTATCACCATCTGCACTCTATGGAGCAGGGAACCAAGGCACAGGCATGCTGAGCTATATGGGTCAGGTCATAAAGTGGAAGGGAGGGGATCCTTGGTTGAGCCCTTTCCGCTCAGACAGGGATGGAAGGAGAGGACCATGAGCTGTCTCAACCACTCTACTCAGAGATGTATGAGAACGTACCTTTCTCCTTGTCTTCCCCCACTCTTGGGGTTCACTAAGACCAGTAGGGGGTGTGTTCCTGGGGTAGGGATGATCTTGTACTGTAAGGGTAAAAGAAAACAGAATTAGCCTTACCCTGTGTGATGGGAACTGGAGTGAGATGACAGCTGATATGAGGGTAACTGCAGAGTTGGGGTAAAGGTGGGTGGTGGAGGGGGGGAAATGGTAGGAGTGGGCCTGGGCATGGAGCAAGGGCAGCTGGGGAAGTAGGTCCTAGTCCAGGGGCTGTTTTCCCAAGGGCTAAGTTGCCAGGTGTCTATAGCCTCCGTGGTGTGAATGATGATGAGGGTTTGAGGTTGGATGATGGCTGGGGCAGTGTCTCTGTAGCTTCAAGCTGCTTGGCAATGGTGTGGCACCATGCCCATGGTACAAGGTTAGATTTTGGGAGGGACTGACATGATGGATGTGGCCAACTGGCCAAAAACACACCAAGAAAGCCACACTCACAGAGTGAGCCATCCACTTCTGTCCCTGCACCTTCCCGGCTGCACATCCAAGCCCACTTTTCTCCGTAAGCCCTGCCATTTCCCACCCTTCAGGAAGGGGGTGTCCTCTGTCAGATGGCTCTCCATCCCCCAATCTCTGCTTGTTCCTGGTCTGCTGTCCGAGACACTGTGGTCCATCTGGTCCTCCAGGGAAGACCTGCCACTTCTTTCCTTACAGGTTCCCTTCCTCACTGGCAGTCATCACAGTCCCCCGCTGCTCGGGCCCCTCCTAACCCAGGAAGGTCTTACATGCTGCTCCAAAGCAGTTCATGCTGGAAGCACAGATCAACCTGACAACTATGCCAAGAGGATAAAATCCAAATCCCCAACCTGGAAGGACAGTTTAGTTTATCCCCCTTCTGCCCCCACCCTGAGCTGCAGGTGTTGCCCCACCTGTCGTGTGTCTTGCCTGCAGCATTGCTGCTTCTTTTGCATTACTCTAAATTTCCCCTTTCTTCTCTGCAGCTTCTGGAAACACTTATATCCTCATGGCCCAAGTTGAGAGCCACCTCGCCCATGAACTTTGCTACTAAAACGGTTGCGTCAGAAACATCTTCACGAGTTCCTTTGTTGTTTAATTGCATTTATGTTTTGCTCTTTAAGATAAATGTTTCAAGACATCGGCTGCAGTTTAATTGCATCAGAAAGGTGGCGGGGATATGGAGTGGTTTGAGCAGGGAGCTGTGTACAGTCCTCTTTCCAAACAGGAATTGCCCCTAGTCACAGGAGTAGTCCTGGGAGAGTACCGTGGGTTGAGCAGGAACCAGCACTGCCACGGAGGGGAGGGCTCCTCCGTTCTCAACAGTTCAGGCACCACATGCTTCATCAGGCAAATACAGTGCTATGAGGCTCAAAAAGGCCGGCGGCGTGCTTGGTGACTTTTCAGAATTCTCTGAACTGCTCCAGGTATCTGTGAGGCCTCTAGGAGACTACCTGGGTCTGCGAAGTAATCCATTACCTTGTGCGGATGACATTCAAAGAAGTTAACAGCCAGTACAGCACAGGCACTGCCTGATTAGAGCAGATGCAAGGTGACCACACACATGGCACAGCTGCATCCTATAGGTGCATGCATATGTGTGGTATGTGTTCCACCTGCCTTGCTGTCCTCTTTCTAGGTGTCCAGAACTTTCTCACCAATTAAGCTTAATTTTCCGAACACATGAATCTGCATTTCCTTGTGTAACTTCAGTGCCTGTGCCTGTGGGGACTCCTGGATTTCTTTCCAAACAAGGAAGCCTGTAGCTCCAGGCACAAGAGGAGGGGTCCTGGTTTGTTCTTCCTTTTCTAACACTCTCAGCACTGCCCCAGGTCCCTGCCCTGCATTCCTGGAAGAGGGGTGCAAGATACAGAGTAAAGATATTCACTGGTGAACCCAATAAGAAACAAGTTCTTTGGGATCTACTTAAGGTATCTGAAGAATTTCTGATCTACTTCATTTCACTTTAACACATCATGTTCAAGAGACAGCTTGGCAAACTCATTGTCTGCATTTTTGCTATTATTTAGGAGGTCTGCTTTGCATATTTCTATGTAAACTGCTCCTCAAATGGTGATAAAGCCAATGGTGAGACCAACAATGGGGTCGGCCAATCTCCCTTCTCACCACTTTCCTATCATGTGGAAGTCAGAGGCAACTCCAGCAGCCAGAAGTAAAGTGTGCTCCTATGCGCCAGAACTGGTCAGATGAGGATGCAAACACAGAGATACGTTTCTTTAGAATCCAACCCCGTCCATCCCGCCACAGCCTGGGGCCCACTGAGCATGAGCCAGCAGACTCCACGCTCACATGGTACCTGGGTTACAAGTTCGCCCTTGGTGGATACGCTGCCATCTGACTTTCCACCTTGTCTTTCCTGTGAAGAAAGAGACAAGAGGGATTGTACAAAGGAAAAAAAAAAAAAGGAGGAAGTGCCTAATAGTGTGAAAAAGATCAGATGAAAACCATGGCAGATGTCAAGGAAGATATCAGAAAGCCGATACAGCGTGGAGAGGAGGCTTCCAAAGTGAGTCGCTGGACCAGAAAACAATGCGAGGAATCCAGCCCGTGAGTTCTTGTAGAACTCTGTCGGCACCTGTTTAGGCTTGAACTTTATAACCCAGGGGCCCAGGTATGTACAACATGCACGTTCTGTAGAGATTTAAATTTTGTACTCCCAAACACCTTTTAGTTTTTTTCCAGACATTTTTTAAAACTTTCCTTGCATGGTTTAATTTATAAGTCTTTTGTGGCCATTTAGCTTGTCTGCAGGTGTTTGAGTGTTAAGAAAAAACAAACAAACAAGCCATTTTTGGGTTGGGCACCTGGCCTAGTGGGTAAGGCTCCGCTTATGACGTCCATGTTCTGTGTCAGAGTGCCTGGGGTCTGAGGCTGACTCTGTCTCTAATTCTGGTTTTCTGTTTATGCACACCCCGGGAGGCAGCAGTCAGTCAAGTGGGAGCCAGGAACTGAGTTCCTGGCTGCTGGTTCCTGGTCACCCTGGTCATTGTGGTCATCTGAGGAATGATGGAATCTGTTTCTCGCTCTCAAAAAAAAAAAAAGAAAGAAAGAACAAATAAAAGTTTGCCATAAGCATTCTTGCCAAGGTCTCATACTCCTGAGGCAGATACACAAGCAGGGAACAGCTGGTTGTGGCTTTCTCTGTTTCCAACCTAAGTAGATCCCACAGGGTGCGTGCCCAAGGGGTGGTTTTGCTAGGTTTTTAATGAGAATGAAGCAGGTGGCCAGGTCCAGGATGAGGTGTTGGCTGCATTTTAAGGAGGGAAGAGAAGAAAGCTGAAATGTTGATGCTGGATTTGAAAGAGGAATCTCCAGCACAGGAGACGCAGAAAGTTGAAGGCAGGTACAAAGAAGTTAAATTTTGCTGCACCCACGGCTGAGACACCTCCATGGGAGCTCTTGAGGTAGGCTGGATTTGGGGGCAGGGGAGAGATTGCAGGTTAGACCCAGGAGCAAGGTGGGCTTGCTATGTGCAGGTAATGGCCATGCTCTGCCTGCAGTCCCCCACGGGCCAGTCCCAAGCCTCTGGGGCAGCCAGCAGGTGGAGCTAGGCTAGTCAGAGGGGTTTTCTGTTTCTGAGGCCTAAGGACACAGCTCCTGTGCACTAATAGGAAGGCCTTGGAAGGCTGCGAAGGGCAAGGACACTTACCCGGGTGACAGGGCATATTGAGGTGGGCAGCAAAATATGGTCTCTGAGTTCCCCTCCATCACACACCGTAGATAACTCACACTTGCGGTGAAACTGGCAGGAGAGAAAGGCAGACAGGAGTGAGTAAAGTAACAGGGGCAACGTCCAGTATGAGGTTTAATACCTTGCTCAGGAGGCTGTCTGCCAAGTGCTTGCCCAAATCCTGACATGCCGTCGGCATTGGACAGATGGCCATTCAGGGTAGGGACTGGGAGAGCCCCATCTGCCATGCACAGGGGGGACAGAGACCAAGAACTGCTCATGGCTACCCTTCAGTATGTGTGTGTTATGTATGTGTGTGGTGTGTATGTGAATTCCAGAGTCATCTCTGGCTATCTGCTCCCCAGGCTTTGGGACTTGGGGAGGAGAAAATCTCAAAGAAAGGCCGGTGGTGTATTCCATCATTCAAACTTGGCATTTTGAGAGCTTTGCATTCTGGTCTGGAGAAAGCACCTTTCAGGAGCTAATACTTGCTCAGGGGGACAAGATCTGACACTTCTGTTGGCACTGGCAGGCGGGTGCTGCTGCAGATTGGGGCTATGAAAGGGGTGTGCCTCAGGGACAGGTGCCAGAGGCACAGGTGTACTGGCATCACTGCCTTCCCCTCTGCGGTGCCTCTGCCCCAGGTGAAGCAGGGCCATGATCTGGCCTGCTGTTCTCATGTGCCTGAGCAGGTCATGAGTGGACTGGCTGGTTTCCTCTTTTAGCAGCCTTCACTCTCTGGTTCCAGGGCTGCTATCTCTCTCCAGGCCTGCTAGGGATTTGCTCAGCACTGTGAGACAGAGGGCATGAGGCCCTCTTGGCCTCACTCCCCTGGCTCTGCTCATGCCTCTGGGCAAGATGTTCCCTGCTTCTGGGTTGCAGCTTGAGCCAAAAAAAAAAAAAAGAAAGAAAAAAGAAAAAAAAAATCCCCCAAAAACAAAAAAACCCAAAGAACCACAGAGACAAAAAGCAGGGCTGCCCTGGGCGCCACCCACCGTCATCCGGCACCAAACGCAGTGCCGCGCGGTGACACTCTGGTAACACTTGATACTTTTGTGGCACCGGTCACACTTGACGGAGGAGTTCCCTTCCACCCATGCGTGCTGCATCACCTGTGGGAGGGAAGGGAAGGTGCCAGGGAGGGCAGCACAACCATAGCCCCGGGGCCCCGGGCTGGAAGAGAAGGGTCTTGGCAGGAACAGAGGGAGTGAGGAGGTGTGAAGGACTGCTCTCTGCTTGGTGGGTGCTCTTCAGATGCTGAATGGCTTTGCCCAGTGGCACACAATGCTTCCTGGCCACCACTAGGATTACCAAGGTAGATAAAACCTTTCGCCCGCGTCTTGAATGTTCTACTCATCCTAGCAGGTGTCTTGTCTGCCATCTGCCTGTCCATCTTGCTGAGGGAGCTCTTGGCCGTTCATGGTGTGTTTGTGTGCTTCCTTCTCTGGATGGCAGTGCAGTGCCAAGGAACAGATGAGGGCTTGGGCTGCAAACCAAAGTAGCCCGGGTCACTGACCTTCCGCTTCCCAGCAAGCCAGTCATTGGCCAGTTCCTGGGTGTTTTTGTGAGCCTGGGTCCCTCATAGGGACAAGCTGGCATCATAGGTCTCCGAGGTTGGCAGGAGGATGCAATGAGCTGGCCTGGCTTTGTGGACATGCCCATTTGGGGGCTAACTTCCTTGCTCTACTCAGCCTAAGCTGTCCATAAGAACCATGTATGGTGCTTCTAGAAGTCCTATTGCTGGCCCACATTCCAAACAAATCAGCAGCTCTTGCCGGGACCCACTAACAATGTGCTTGTAAGCACTCCAGGGTATGGTGGGGTGCAGCCCAGGTAAGGGAACTTTCTAGAAGGAAGTCAGGTAGGAAGTCCAAAGAAATCCATGAGGGTCCCCCAGTGACTGTCACCCCTGTTTCCTGGACAGTCTCTTGAACCTCTCCTTGGCTTGGGAATGCTACCAGGGCATGCTGTGGGGACTTGGGAAGCTAGTGGGAATGCTGTTGTGTGTGCATGCATGTATTTGCACTTAGCTGAAGAGACAGAGGTTGACTCTTGTCCCCACTCTCTAGAAGCCTGAGATCTCAGTTCTCTCTCACCATTAAACTATGGAACTTTTCTAAAGTGTCTTCCAAGGTCCTCTAAAGAGCACCCGGAAGTGGCTGTCGACCCTGCAGAGTGCAGATGGGGTACATCCTAGAGTGACCAACCACAAACACAAGATGAGAGACATACAAAGTATTTGCCTGGTATCATCCTCCTTGTTATTAACTAAGCGTTTCAATTGCTTAGCAACCCAGTTGCATAATGCCTCCCTCACACTGTTTTTAACTGAAATTATTGCTCCAGAAGACGGGCCACATTTGCTTCATAGCTTCTCACCTTCTGCTGCAGACTCCGGGGCTGGGGCTAAAGAGTTCAGCTGGTGAACCAGTCTGTCTCTCCATGGTCACCATGAATCTGCCCTGAGTACTGTTACAACCATTATGCACAGGAAAAATGTGAGACTTCAAAGAGGTCAAATGACTGGCCCCAGGCTAACAACACTGGGAAGCAGACAAGTAGGGACTCAGGGCCAGGTCCACGGACACCAAGTCCAAGGTTGTCTCCCCAGCACTGCACTGCCTTCTCCCTCCTCCCTGCAGTCTTGGGCTGTCCTGGAAGGCTCCACAGACTGGGAATGTAAACTGGCCCCTTAGTGGCCTTACTCTCCTGTGTGTGGCAGGTGTAAGACCTGAGCCCAGAAAGCACAGGCGTGTCCTGTGGAAGGCATGGACATGGAGAGGATTGTGGATGGTGGTGGTGCAGGTGGAGGAGACAAGTGGCCATGAGGAGTCTATGGGGCATGCATCCTAGTCCTCTGAGACACCCTTCTCTCTCCATCCTTCCTTCAGGGGGCCTTCTGCAGGGAGGAGAGGACCATGCCCACCCCCAATCATCTCCTGACTCAGAGTCCTCAAGATGGCTCCTTTTGGGGGCTCTTACCTTTTAGATTTAAGTAGGTCTATCCCCATACCCAGCAAATGGCACTACCTGATGGCCAAGTTGGAAGTGTCGGAGCCATCCCTGCCTCTTCCCAGTCCTCTCCTGAGTGTCTCCTTCACTGAGACCCACTGGAGGTGCCTCCAAAGGACCCCTCAGAATCTTCTAGCTTCTTCTTTACTCTAACTAGCACGGCAATCAAAAAACGGAATGACCGGCATGTTCCAAGGGACACGTTACACAGACATAGTGACGACCCTGTTATAGCAGGTGAGTGTGGATCCCACCCAGATCGGCCCTCCAGCTGTAGGACGAGATGCTCCTACTGCATGCCTCTGCCACATCGCTCCAAGCAGCCACACTGGTGGTCAGCTCAATCATCCCTTCCTGCTCATGGAGATCTTCAGGGTGCCCCTGGTCGCTGAGGAAGCCCCTCTTTGTTACAGGAGCCCTCAAGACCTTGTCCAGGCTGGATGGCAACCCTGTCTGAGCATATCTTTCTGCAACTCCCCTTTCAATAGCTCTGTCCCAGGGGCACTAAACCAAGCCTGGATGCCAGAGCAAGTCATTTCCCTCCACCTTTACACCCAAGGCTGCTCCTGCCTGTAGGGCCTGTCTTCTGGATTTGTTCTCCCTTACGAACATTGCCCTGCTATTTCCTTTGTGTTTCCTCTGTATTTTCTCAATTGATCCTGTTATTTACAATAGCACACATCTCACCATTTTGCACCTTCCTTCAGTGTCTTGTCTCTCCCTTTAGATCAAGTGGTCTCTGGCACGTTGAGGACTAGCTCTTACAACAGCTGTATCCTCTGGGTCAGTGCTTGGACATGGTAGGCACCAGAGAGATGCTGGATGGATTGATGGATGTACAGGTTTGAGGGCAGTGCTGGAGGGACAGAAGTGACTGGAGAAAGTTCCCAAAGCCCCTTCCTGCCCAGGAATTCGTGGTGATGGACGTATGGCCCGGGATGTGGCATGCAGGAAATAAGTAGAGCTAAGCAATGGAAATCACCAACCTCTCCTCCCTTTTTGGTTTTTGAGAAGGTTTTGACACACGCAGGGATGTTTTTGGAGACACAGCGTTCATGGACAGTGTATTTACAGTCTGCAAAGAAAAGAAAGTAAGGCCACCTGTTCCTGAGTGGCCACCTAGGAGATATGGCCACCACCCAGCCTGGTCTTCACCTGCCTCTTGGGACCTCCTGGATGTGCAGAAGAATCTCTGCTTGGGAGCTGGCAGTTTCTACTGCACCTGCCCCTGTCCTTTCTGCCCCATTGCTTTTCTCTGTGAGACATGGCTGCAGCAGGAAAGCATCCCCAGTTAGCACTCTCCACCATGGGCGACTGCGAGTACCATCCTGCCAGCTATTCCAATACCATGGGGTGGTATGTCAGGCATGGTAGTGGGGAGGTAGGTAATTGCTCTATTCCTTCTCCTTTTTTTTCTTACCTCTTGTCTGTGGCTTGTTTCTCCTTTCCCCTCTGACTTCATTAAATAGATGATAAAGTGCAAGAAGTGTAGAGTTTAAATTCCCATTGCATTTACAGAATATACAATATGTTGCTTATTATTTAAAGCTATAGCCTGCTCCTCTGAATTTCTCCAAAGCAAAAGCTGACTAGAAAATCCAAGTAAACTTACTAGGAGATGCTATTTGGTGAAAGGTGAGTTTCAATACTTTTTTTCCCCCCAGGGAGGCAGTTATCCAGTACTGATTTTTTTGCAAGTGAACAAATCTGACTTGTTTGCTCCCTGCTGTTGGAACACTGTGGATCCCTAAGTATCCAGTCTGTCCTTGAGACATCTCAACCATGAACACTGCAACCCAGCCCCGGGGGCGAGGGGTCCCTGAAAGAAGCAGACTCACAAATGCAGCAGAGGCCTTGCTTCCGCACACCCATGAGCATGACGTGGCACAAGTTGCAGTAGGTTGGCTTCTTGAAATGCTTCATGGTCCAGGCGTGCCTCCCATCCCCTTTGGAGCCCTGTGGGGGTCACAGCAGGGGGGAGCCTGAGCTGGTCAGCCCCCCAATGGAGGAGCCCAGCCCTGCTGCTCGCAGGTTCTTCTTTGCTAATAAGACTCTTCTCAGATTTGGAAGACAAATAACAATCCTAAATACAAATCAAAACAGAGTTCTTTGTGCAAGTTTTCTAAAAGTAGCAAAGATTAAAACCAAGGAATATCTGCTTGGGAGTATGTGTTGAAGAATGAGGAGTATAATACAAACCCTCTGTTATCCTGCTGGCCAAAGTGTAAGTCAGAACACCAATCTGGTTATCTATCAAACTATCTTGATCATCTCCATCATCTGTCTACCATCTATCTAATCTAATGTATATTTTTCAAAATAATTATTTATGTGAAAGGCAAATTTACCAAGAGAGAGAGAAATCTACTATCTTGTGGTTTTACTCCCAGAATGACCCCAATGACTGAGGCTGGGCCACAGTGAAGTCAGGAAGGAGCTTGGAGCCTGTCCATGTGTCCCTGGGTTCCAGGGGCCCAAGCACACAGGCCATCTTTCTTGTGCGCTGGCAGGGAGGAGGACCAGAAGTGGAGCAGTCAAGACTTGAACTGACACTCATATGGGATCCCAGCATCACAGACAGTGGCTAACCCACTGTGCCACATCATTTATCTATTTACCTCTTGCATTATCTATTTCTAGCACCCCTACATCTATCTGATTGATAACCTCTGTCATATTTATCCACTTTACCTTTTTATGTATCCATTTACTATTTACTTAGGAATTTTTAAAATGCTTGCAGTGTCTGACATACAAATTACCCTTCTTGAACTCTATCTTAAAGAAGTAATTTTTAGGAGGAATAAAAGACATAGGAATATTTTTATGTTTTGTCAGATGCTTAGCCTAGTATTATTTAAAATTATGATAAACTGAAACTATGCCAAAGGTCTCCAAATTACCAAAAGGTTTATTGCGGGGTCTCCATTTGACTTAATTCTGGGTGGCAATCACAGACATTTATCTGAATATATAACAGCATGAGAATGTGCTCATGGAAAAAAATACTCATTGAAAAAAGGCACAATGCACATGTGAGGATAAATTCTAATCTCATTGTTCTACAAGATCTTTGATGAGAAGACATTCCAGCTACAGCTGTCAATACTACAGATTTACTTTATTTTCAAATTCCTTCTTCTATATTTTCCCCATTGGGAAAGTTCTAGTGTCACATTCAGGGAGAAATAATTACTAGTGCAAACAGGGTACTCCTCTTGCCAAGTTTCTATGACAGATAACGGAAAAGAGATGTGGGCCCAAGGAGAGCGAAGCCACTTCCTCTGACACGGTTCCACAGCGAGATCATCTTCACACACAAGATGAACCAAACCACAGAGAGTCACACACACACCTTCCCCGGACACCCACTGTCCCCCTGGCGGGTCAGGGAAGGCTGTGGTGACAGGGGCAGCCCCATGAATGAGATAACCCTGACGTCCTCGGTAGGTCTCAAGGGCAGTAAAAATATCACTGTAGTGAGGGGATGGGGTCAGGGATCTGGAGTCCCACATACTTATCTCAAATCCAGCTTTACTTCCAGGCACCTGCGTCTTTGCGTTGGTCCCCTCAGCCACACCTGTCCCTGGACCCAGAGTTCTCATCATGCATTCTAGAGGAGCCCCAATTCTTGCCTATATGTTAGTTTCCTTCTCTGGTTTGGTTGGGCTTTTTCTACTTCCTCAAAATCTTGCTTGTCAGAGACCTGCCTTTTGTGGAACTAAACTGTTACTTAAATTATTTTTCATGCATCCCAAAGGAATGACATTTTATCTAAAAATATTTTCCCATGCTGCCTCTGTTACTGTATTAGCAGACTCTCCGTTTCTCGGCCTTTTTTTTTTTTTTTTTTTTTTTCTTTTTTTAACAGCCACAAGGAGCAAAAAGATCCGGACTTGGAAGCAGGTAACATTTTTGCTTGGGCTATGGCGCCATCATGTGGCTCTTTCAATTCTACACCATGGAAGCTACAGAACGCAGGGATTAAACTTTCTTCTCCAGGCACAAGGCAGATGGTTCTGCTTAGCCTAATCCCCTCAACTAGGGTTTTCAGTGGTCATTTGTAGGCTCCAAAAGACCCAAAGAAGCAGCAAGACTTTTAATAAATTGATGGCTTTCTCCAAACCCCTAAATATTAAATGTTAAAACTGTCTTTAGTGACTACTGAACAAACAAATATACAGTGAGCATTTGACCTATTGTTTAAGACACCTGTCTGGGTTCAGCTCCTGGATTCATCTTCCTGCCAGTGCAGGCTCTGGAAGTGATGATGATGGCTCAGGAAATTGGGAGATCACAGAGTCCCCTGGCTCATCGCTTCACCCCGGACCCATCTGGCCATTGCAGGCTCTTGGGCAATGAACCAGGGAGTGAGAACTATTTGTCTGTCTCTCTCAAAGGAATAACTTTCAATTAAGAACAATTGCATTTACGTTTGCTAGTTTCCTGATGTAAATTTGAGTTTCCTGTAGGGCGAGGTTGGCAACTGGGGCAGAATGTTGACGACACAGCTGGCCTCTTTCTTCTATAGCTAGAAATCAGGGAACCTTTCCAGACAGAGCTGGTGGTGAAAAGGAAGATTTAGAATAGAGAAATTTAACTTGCTTGTTTGCCTTCTGTACTTTACTTGTCTTACTGGCTGAGAATAGCTGAATAGGATGTCTTTGGTAAATGATTAGGTTCAATTGGGATTCAGGATACAAAATTCAACAGTGGCCCTGAAATAAGTATCTCAGGAGGAATCAAGGTAAAATAGTGAGGAGCCGAAAAGTCCCTGACTTCTTGGAGGAGGCTCCAAAGGTCTGAGAAAAGTAAACTTGGTCCGGAAAAGAAGCAAACTCAAGGAAAATTGTGACAAAGAACTAAAAGAAACAGCAGTCTTGTGATGTAATAGTCAGGAAAAAAAAAACAGCCCCTAACTTTATTGTTTTATGATTCTATTTGTACCTATTAGTAAGCTAGTTTTCAAAATGCTGTGTAAGTGATTTTGGCCTACAAAAGACAGGTGATGTAGCGACTTGGTACGGATGTGCCACCCTCCTGCGTGAGGAACTGGCCTCCGTCCCAGCGTGCTGGCATCTGAATAAATCCTCCTGCTTTTGCATCAAGCCTCGTCTTCGTTGATCATTGGGGAGACTCACTTTCTAGAGAGTCGGTAAGGCTGTCCTCACTTCGCGCGGCCTTACAGTGGCAATCTGAGACTCAGTGAGTCCAGAACAGAAGAGATGATAGAAGTCAGCTCACTGTGATGAACATGTCTCTGCAATTCCCCAACTGAGAGAAAACTCAGTGATCCAGATCAGCACCAGGAAGGACTTCCGTTTTGATGTAGCCATGAGAAGCAACAGCTGAAAGAACACCCTGTGTTTCTGAGAACTCCCAGGTCCTAGCTCATGCAGGTTCCTAAACATGTGGCTTCTTGGCACAGGCTTCCTGAACAAGGGGTCTAATGATACAGAATACAGCAGGTGACCTCTTGCATCCGTTTAGTCTGCGTCCTTCAGCAAGTCCCTTTCCCTGCTGGCCTTTCTGTAGAATGAAGAGGACTGGGAGCACAAAGGGCTTTTCTCGCTCTGATCTTCTCCTGAGATCCTAAGAAGGAAGAAGGGAGCAGTGTGGGTCCTGCTTCTGTGACTTGGACTTAGCACTTGGAAAAAGAATTGAGATGGAGGGCAGGTTCTAGGTCCTGCATTCTGTGATTGTCAGATGGTGATCTGAAGGCCCCCAACAGGCAGCCAGAGACAAGCCCACAGCACTTCCTGTCCTGTACCTTTCTAGGACATTTCAGGAATTGCAAAAAGGGTTTGTCACAAAACCTGTGCAGCTATCCTGGTAAGTGCCTGATAGCACTAGGCTTCTACTGGCTCTGACCTTGCTTAGCTGAAGTATGACGTTAGTTTTGCTGATAAATATGGACAAAAGCAGTAGCTAACTGGGGGAACTACAGGCATATGTCACCTCAGTGTCTACTTAAGCCTTGAATACCTTTGCTTGTCTTAGCAAACCCTGGCTTTTCTTCCAGTTTGGGGCTTTGACCAAGCTGTTCTCCCAGTCACAAACTCTTGTGCCAGCCAAGCCACACCAATTCTTGATAGGCAGATTAAGGCCCTCCAGGTTCTCTCACTTGACCTTCATTCTTCAGAATGGGATGCCAAAATCTCAACCATTCTCTAGGGATGGGCCAAACACCCTCTAAGGTCATTCAAGCAGGTCTCAATACAAGGGTCTCCATCTTGTGTGGATGTTAGAAAGTTCAAGGTCTTTGGAAATGGGTACAAATCATGAATCTTCTGTTTGTTCCTTAGCTTGAAAACTAGTTTTTCAGCTGCATACACTGGGATAAAAATATCTACCCAGGGCAGTTGCTGAAATGGTTATATCACTAGAAATGAGAGTGCCTTGGTTTCGGTTCTAGTTCCCTTATGAGTCTAGCTTCCTGCTAATGCCTGAGTAGGGAAGCTGCAGATGATAGTTCAAGTACTTGGGTCCACCCATGAGGAAGACCCAGATTGAGTTAGGGCCTCTGGCTTATCCTGGCCCAGCCCTGGCTATTGTGGGCACTTGGGGAGTAAGTAGAGGGGAGATATCTCTATTTCTGCTTTTCAGATAATAAAATAAATACAATTAATTTTTTTTAAAATTGACCTTAATTGATGGTTTCAATTGCTAAATAAGATACCACTCATGAAAGTCCTTCCAACAAGTCAGTATTTATTTTCTCTCTCTCTCTCCTTCCCAGATCCTCATAATGCTTACAAATCTAATTTATGGGAAGGATGGAATTCTCCCATGAATATGTTTGCCCTTTGATTCACTGAATATAAGCTTTTTTTTTTTGGTGGGCAAATATTGTATCTGTATCCCATTGCAGCATACAGAAAAGTAGCTTTAGTTTGGTAATCATTGAGTAAATGTCTATTGAGTGAATGGATGTATTTCAGTCACGAGTAGTAAAAGGAATGAGAGTAGAGGAGTCTGGGCTGGCCCTGAATGCCAGGTGTGCACGCCTTAGATGGAAGCCATGATGTGTGGATTTTAACATCAGCCCTGACACTCCAGGATGACAAGAGGTCTCAGAAGTGCCGTTTACTGACTTACAGAGTCATCCATTCCCAGGAGGACCAGCAGCGGGATGGTGGTCATCCCTCCATGGACCCACTCCTGCAGAGACACAAAGCCATCCCGGTCGTAGTCCATCCCTTGCAGCATCTCCTTCAGTATCTGTGGATGCCAAAGAGCAACACTTGTCCATTTTCATTCTCCACGCGTCTCCCTCCACAACCCTGCCCCGACCCCTGCTTTCTCTTTGGTCCTGAGTTATCTCATTTGTACTTTACCCATTTCTCCTCTTCACATCATGTGGTGAGAAATGAGGGGAACAAATAGAGGGTGAGGAGACCAGGGTTCCAGGGCCAGTTCTGCCCTGCCCCGACTTATGAGACCATGGGCGAGGCACCCTAACTCTTTGATCTGTTTATCTGTGAAAATGGAGATAATATTGCAACATGGCCATTGAGGATGGATGAAAATGTACACAGCTGAGTTTCACTGAGCCAAAAAACCTGAGACCAGAGACGCCCCAAAATCTGAAATTTTCTGAGTGCCAAGGTAATATATTCATAAAATATAATACCATTTGGTGGCTGAGAAAATGTCTGAAGTGCTTTCTACTTCAAATTTTTTTTGATGTATGAGTTTCTGTGATGAAATTTCAGTTCTGTGAAGGTTAAGAGAATCGATATGTCAGTTATGTCCACATTTATTTTCTGCTGGTCAGGATGTAAGATTGCAAATACACTGCCCATAGGAAAATGAGTCTGGGAGCAACATGCGCTGCTAGCATTTGCATCTAGGTCCCAGGTGTGCCCTACTCTCCTTTTGGAAACTCACTCTCCAGTGACTTAGAGAAACTCACAGGCCTTAGCTCCGTAGGATCCCACTCCAGGTACTGAGCAACATGGAGCATTTGGTTGACAATGCAATCCATCTCCTAGAAAATAGCAAGGGCAGAAGATATCAGAGAGACAGAAGCAAAGATGTATTCTCAAGAGCCAAACACAACAACATTAAGCCCTGGAAAGACAGGCAGGGCAGAGTATGAGAAGAAGCGGGTACAACCCATGGGCATTTCATGAGGAGCTCACTGCTTGTTCCTTGACTGCAAAGCTCAGTGAGTGAACCGCAGGTGCTCACTGGAAGCTCAGAGCACAGATAAGACAGAGGAGTGTGGGAAGTTCCTCAGGCACTGATCTCTGGGCCCCACCAGCTCCCATTGTCATTCCCCACTTTCTGTCCTTCGACTCAGAGAACACAGCACACACTCCTCATTTCTCCCATGTTGTGATTGTAACTCCTACAAAGGCCCACACATCCAGACAGGGTGCTCTTCCTCCTTATCTGCCCTCATCCTCACCAACTCAGCAATTTGGGATCCATTTCCTCCATCCCCACTACAGCCAGACTTTAGTTTCACTTGGATGGAGGGAGCTTGTGTTGGTCCTAGCTCCAGCACTATGATTTAAGCTCTTTATGGCATCTCCTTTCTTTTGCGTCATAGTCCAGGACTCCATGAAGACAAAATTCATGTGAAATACATTTGGCTAGTGATCAGTCTTCTGGTAACAAGTCTAGGGTTCATCCAAAATCTTTCAGAGTTGCTGGGAGCTAACGAGTCAGGGCGCTGAGAGTCACACTGGAACATATCCAACTATTTGGTGTTAGACTCTCTCGGGTACTATCTATTATGTTCATAATAAGATTGCTTTAGGAAGACATGGTGGACTGAAGCAAGGGTCAAACATTTTATCTCCACCAGAGAGAATTATGAGTCCAAATAAAAAAAAGCAAGCTAAAATCAATCAGAGGCTTAAAAATCTGTATTTCATTTAAATTACAAAATAATCTATGGCAAAACCATAAGATGGAACAGTAGAAGAAGCAAGGCATTGTGCAGGAACGTGGAAACCGGGTTCAGCAGAAGTTCCAATGGGAAGAGTTTGTGAATCCAGTTGGGCCCAAGAGTCAATGAGACAATGCAATTCAGGAGCTGAGATTAAGATTCAGTGTTGGCCAGTGTAGGGAGGTGGGTAGATTTCAGCAGAGCTAGTTCCCCAGGGTCAACACTGCTCAAGCTACGTCTGGATACTCTCTCAGAGCCACAGTGGGGTGGATTCTGTTCTGTGTCCTCCCTTATGAACACTGACACACTCAAGCTTGTCCACAATGGGGAGCAAAGCCTCCCTTACAAAATGTGGCTGAGGCACTGGGACATTTTAGCTTGGAGAGAATTTTAGAGAAGATGCAGTGTCAACTTTATGTCTTGGGGGCCTGCAGTGTAGATTACATGTTTCACTAACCATGGCCACAAAGGGCAGCCAGCGGGTAAAGGGAGGAGGAGATTGAGAATGTGTCTGCTGTGACCTTGCTGGGTTGTTGGAGGAGGCAATAATAGAAGCAGGTTTGTGTCAAAATGGATCACCTTGGCAGACAGAGGGGCACTGGTGACAGAAGGAGGCCATCTCTGATGGTCATCCCTGTGAGCAGAATGGCTATGTGAAGGTAAGGAATGATCTTTTCCATAAAGAAACCAAGAGTTTAATGATCAAGCATTCTGGGTGGGAAATTGAGTCAGATGACAGACTCTCTTCTGCCCACCAGTGTTACCAATATATATTCAGAAGGTAACCACTTTGTTCCACCTGCAATGCTGTTCCTTGGGCAAGGAGACCATCATTTCATGTCATGATTATTTTAATAGCCTCCTACTGGTTTCCCAGCTTCATCCCTACAGCCTATGCTCAACACAATATCTAGAAATTTTGTTGATATATAATCTTGTCACTGTTCTGCTCAAAGTAATCACTCCTTGTTCCATCCCATAAGTCTTTGGATCTTCTTTTGTATGTGAGATTTATTCATTTTTATTGGAAGATTTACAGAGAGAAGGAGAGATAAAGAGAAAGATCTGTCTGCTGGTTCACTCCTCCATGTGGCCTCAATAACTGGAGTTGAGCTGATCCAAAGCCAGGAGCCAGGAGCAACTTCTGGGTTTCTCACATGGGTGCAGGGCCCCAAGGTTTTGGGCCATCCTTTATTGCTTTCCCAGGCCACAAGCAGGGAGCTGGAAGGGAAATGGAGCTGCTGGGACATGAACTGGTGCCCATATGACATCCTGGCACATGCAAGGTGAGGATTTAACCACTAGGACATCGTGTTGGGCCCAGTGCTCTGATCTTGTCCCCTAGTACTGTTCGTTCATTCTGTGGCCTCCCAGTGAATTTTCTAGGATTCCAGTAAGCAGTCAAGCTCTTTGTACCTGCTGTTCCCTCTGCCTGCAGGCTCTTCTCTTAGATCTCTCTAGGATCTACTTTCTCAGCTTCAGGTCTCCCTCCAGTGTCTCCCCTTTAGGAGGCCTTCCTTGGCTACTCTAACTGAAGCAATAATACCATCCAACACTTTCTTTCTCTTTTTGTTTTCTTCCAAGCACATACCTCCACTTAACACATAGTTGATGATGATGGTTTGTCTTTATGCTTGGATTAAAACAAAAGCTTTATAAAGTCATGGGATTTTGTCAGTAGGCTACACTGATGTATTTCCAGCTTAACATAGTGTTATGAACAACTCAGTGAATACATTCAGACCAAATGCATCAGTCTATGGTTCTCTGCTTGTTCCCTCAAATGTTGCATCCCACAGCATTGCCACATGACTAGAGGTACCTTGGGGTCTAAAAAGGGAATTAGGAGGATTCAGTTGGTGGAGAGGACTTGGTCTTCCTCCCTTCCCTTTCTTCTATTCTTCCTGTCCCTCATCCCTCCTTCCTTTCCTCTCTCTGTTTTGACTCAGTCTTCATGTACCTTATCCTCAGAGCCTTCCCATTAGAGTCCTGACTCTGACATTGCCAGTCATGATCACAGAGTCAATGTGACTCCATTTGCCTTCTCTATGTATTTTTCCTTTTCTACCCTTCCTTTGACTCAGCAATCCCACAATCCCCAACCCCATCCTGAAGGGGTGGGGCGAGTAATGGGCTTTCCAATGGGTTGGGATCCTGAAAACAGAGAAAATGCCTCTGCTGGTGTCTTGGGGGTGAGAGAGGAGGTACAGGGTGAGGGCCAGCACACCAGTAGCAACCCTCTGCACTTCTTGCCTTGGTCTTATTGCCTGCTGCCTCTCCACACTTGGTGTCTGGGTTCCAGCAGGGAGTTGGGGAAGTTTGTGAACATATAGGAAAATTACACTAGATGAGATATCACAGCATCTCCCCTGAGATCTAAGATCTCATGATGCCAGGCTTTCGAATGCAAAAGTGAAATAAATTCATCTTCTGCAAGGAGGGGTCTTGGGTAGCAGAATGGGAGGTGTTCTACTTAGACCCCTGCAGTCCTGACTGAGATATTACTGTCCCCGCAAACAGGAAACTGGAAGTTTTCAGGCTATGCCTCCAACTGCTCCTCCCTCCCACCCCCAGCCTTTCTCAGATCCAGAGTGAGAACTTACCGCTTGGTCCAGGAGGCCATTCTCATCCGAATCATAGAGTCGAAACATGACTGCAAAAAACACAGAGGGTGAGGCTTGGGGTGTCTTCCGGGAACTGAGGTTGGGCTGAGGGGTTTTGGAGCTGCCACACTTTTTGATCAGTTTTGACCGTCACTGGGAGTAAAAGTGCTGTAGTCAGCTGATCCATCCTGCAGGCTGCAGGGTCCAGCTCCCTCAGGAAGAGCACTGGGAAAGGTTGGAGCAAGGGAGGAGAATCACGTGGCTGGGGTTCCGGACCTGCCTAAGTATCACTGCAGTTGAGGAAATCCGGGTCATCAGCACGATTCCCTGGAGAGTAGGTACAACTCTCCAGCATCACTGAAACACAGCTCAAGGCAAACCCCCAGGTGGGGGTGGGCCACAGGCATAGAACTACAGAAGAGCCTCTGCTCCTAGGGCACACAGAAAGGATGTGGAGTCAGGTTCAAATCCCAGCCCTGCCTACCACTCCATGCTAACAACTTTTCTCCTGCTTTGGGAGTACCACGGTGTACCTGATATGCCAATCATCACTGCTTGATATGGGGAGAGCCATCAACAGAGTTGACTGATTTTTAAATTAATGAATATTAATATATAGCATTTACAGTTGCAAAGTACTGTCCTATGTACTTCAACATCACTACTTGGTCCCCAGTAGTGCTGGGAGATAGTTATTGCATAGAAGTGCAGATCAATATGATCAATAAATAGTATACTATACAGAAACACCCTCAGTCATGTTCCTGCTGCAGGGAAGCCGAGAAGTATAAGGAAGATCTGGAAGAGAAAATTGGACATAGGGCTAAATGTTCAATTATAGTACCTGGAAATTTGCATTTCATTCAACCAAAAGGTAGAGCTCCTGTCTAGGCCCATAGCTCTGTCTCTATGTTCTCAGAAGCCAGTAGGGTGGGAGATGAACTAAACACTTGTTCCTCTAGCTGCCCACTCTTTAAAATGCCTCATCATGCATGGGTTCTCTGTGGAATGTCCCTGGATTGATGATTCTCTGACACAACCCAGCTGGGTCTTAGGAATGTCCCCATCTGTCACACACACACACTCCTGGTAAGTAAACCTGGTGTCACACTTTCCTCCCAGATGTTGCAACCTTTCTGCACTTTGCATTTTTTTTCAATGATCAGACCTTGGCAGAGCCTCAGTGTTTTATGAAAGAACTTCCGATTCTCCGTGATCTTCAGAACGTCCCTGTCTGAACAAACACTGCTGATTCACTGAGCAGATGCTTCAAATGATATAAAGGACAGCGCTTCTAACTGACTCTCCCAGAACTCTGGGCCTAGACAGTCTTTACCACTGAGCTCTCTCTGGTCCTACCGTTCATGAGCAATGGAATCAGAGAGGGCTGAGTGGACATCCTAGGGTGTTTCCCACCCCCCACCCCCGCCTTTAGCACTGTGGCGTTAGCAAGTCTTTTAACCTCTTTGTACTTTCTTACATGTAAAATGATGATAATCATATCATCCTTTTAGGGTTATTGTGAATTTAAAATGAGAAAATGCCTATAAAGTGTTTAGCAAATGTGAGGTGTTGTTCAGTGATGAGAGATATTATGATTGCATTAGCTGTTGATGGGATTTCAAGCTATAGTTTGCACAAAGATGAAAAAGAAAAATGCTTAACTTCCTTTTTCATCATGAAAATGGGAGAACATGAACTGTTAGCCAAATATGTAGAGGAAAACAAAAGACAAAAAGAAACGGAAGAGATGGGATAACCCATGGCAATCTATAGAGTTCATTTGGATCAAGTCAAGCACACATTTAAAAATATATTACTGTCAAATTAAGATTACTGATGAAATACTTGGTAATTTCAGTGAATTATTTTCTTCTCTGTCTTTCCCTCTTTGTAACTGTGACTTTCAAACAAGTAAATATATCATAAAACAAGAATTCTTTTTCTTTAGGTGGGATAATAGTGCTGTGGATATATTTGCATGTTTATATTAAGTGATGTTTATATTAAGTAATGTTTATAGATGGAATTATATGATGCCTGGATTTGCTTCAAAATAATCTGAGGCAGAGGGAATGGGCAAGAGCCAAAAGGTGGACAAGATCACCATGGATTGAGACTCCATGATACGTACATGGAAGTTCACTGTATCTCTTCCTTTATTTACCTTAAAAAAATATTTTCTATAATAAAGTTTTAAAGTTTCTTCCCTTTGCCATTTCAAGACATAGCTTGAGACTCACAATACGAAGACTGTGCTAACATTTTCTTCAGTAGTTATAACAGACATAATGCCTAAGATGACCAAATGCAGCTGACGTTTGGAAATAATTTGATATTTCACTTTCAACCTTATCCAGAAGAAAAACGAACCTGGCTATATTTGTTAGCAAATTAGCACTTAAGACCTGTGATTGTTAACACCTGGAACCAAGCTCAGCTAATGAGCAAACTGTTTCATTTTGTTGGGGCGAGTTCACCTTCGTTGGACTCCCCTGGCTAATGCTTCTAGTCTCGCTACTCACTGCAATCTCAACCTCTGTCATAGTGAGGATACTTTTCCTTTACAGAGAAGCAAAGACAGTGCATGCTTCTTATTGAGGTCCTACCACCCCTGGCTGGAAAGTCTTGCTGTAGGCTCCCCAGGTCAGCCAAGCCATCCCTGGTCTGTTGTGCTCTGCCACACTGCAGGCTGTTTCGGCCATGCTCACACCAACTTTATGTCCTCCAAAAGACAGGTTTTTGAAGTCCACTGCAGTCAAATTGTGAAAGCAGTTACCACCTCCTTTAGTGAACTAGTCCTTTTCTCTTGAGAAACCACCCAATTTAGGGTGAGGAGTGGACTTAGAAAAGGAAATAAACTTCACAAGTCAGAGGTTGATTCAACCTCAAGCAAAAAAAATCTGACAGAGTTACTTGGGCATGAAATAAGGATGGAAGACAGATGCTAAATATCCTTTCTTGAGAGCTGGACTAAGAAAAGGAGGTGGCAGTTTTTGGATGTGAGGATTTTAGGAAGTTCTGCCAGCAACGAAAAGAGAGTTATAACTCTTGTATGTGGTCCTCTTTTCTTCCCATATTGTGGTTCTGAATGTCAAGGTCTTAGTTGCTCTCTCCACCCTCTATGTAGCAGGTGCTTTGTACTGGGCTGTAGGAGCAGGGATTAGAGGCAATCACCCCAGGAAACATTGTTCATAATGACAGGACTGAGGAACCTTCCCCAACAGGGAGGACACCCAGCCACCCACAGACACATGTGAGCCCAGATCAATCCCCACGGTGTTTAGGGATGATGGATAAACCCAGACCCTTCCCAGGAAAAAGCGGGAATCCCTTGACAGGACAAGCACTTACACTCCAGTTTATCCTGAGGTCTTCCTGTCTCCAGCAAGGACAGGTAACATACCACATCTTTCAGGAACACAGTGGGCAATTCTGAGCTTGAAGACTGAATGGCAGGGGCTCCCAGTGAGGTCGCAGGCACCTGGTCGTCAGCTGGGGCTTGCTTCCCAGCCATCTTGGGTTCTGTGACAAGTAAAAGGAAAGTGTCCAAGGGTGTTTAGTACTGAGTAAATATTAACCTTCCTCTTGTCGCCCCATCCTTTTCATGATAGAGACAAGAATTTTATGTAGGTTTCTTCAAAAGCTTTGTTTATCAAGATGTGATCACAGCAGAGGCTCTAGAAATGCAGTTTGTTCACATTCTGATCCCTCAAAAGTCCATTTCCTGGTAGGAAATTCACCTGCACTGTATGGATTTTCAATAAAGATGCTAGTGATGCTTGCTAATGCCAGCAGTCAACAATGAAAAACATCTAGCTTACTTTTCGGGGAACACATTTGACTTTCAGAAGTAAACTGGGACGAAATTTCAAAATGCCTTTAAGTGATCAATAGTTATTTGCTAATATGCCCTCTAAAATTTTCCTTTTGACATACGTTTAAAGACAAAGAAAATCATATTCAGAAGACAAAGTCTGCATTACCATTCAACTACTTTCTAAACACTAAAGGCTGTGACTAACTGCATTTACTTGGACACTCCATTCAGAGAACCAAAGAAACATGCACTAGAAGTGAGTATCTCAGTCAGCAGACTTGTGTTGGACGAAGCCTATCAGCCCTGGCGTTAGATTGGGTCTGAAGGAAATGAGCCATTATCCAGATGGATACAGTGGTCAAGGGTCACCTTTGCACAGTGGCATACAGGGCTCCAGCATGTGAAATGGTCTCAGAGGACCAGATCTTTGAAAGTAAATTCTTCCTGGAAAAGCCCATCGGATGTTTTAAGAAGATATACTCTCTGTTAGACAAGAGTAGAGAGCTTGGCATTGTGGCACATCAGGTTGAGTCACTCTCTGTGACACCAGCACTCCATTTGGGCACCAGCTGGAATTCCGGCTGTTCCATGTCCAATCCAGTTCCCTGCTAATGTGCCTAGGCAAGCAGAACAAGGGGACCCAAGTACTTGGACCCCTCCACCCATGTGGGAGGCCCAGATTAAGCTCCTGGGTTCTGTGTGGCCCAATCTTGGCTGTTGTGGCCATTTGGGGCAAGAACCAGAGGATGGAAGATCTTTCTGTTTCTCTCATCAACCTCTGTTACTCTGCCTTGCAAATACTTAAATAAAATATTAGGGATAAAAAGAGCAGAAAGAATCAGAGGTACGCAAGTAGAGAAGAAAATACATCAGAATAAAATAAGAGCAAAGATGGGGTGGGCATTGGCACAGCGGTTAAGGTGCAGTTTTTTGGAAACCCAACATGCTAGGTCCATGTCCCAGCACTGCTTCCGGTATCAGTTTCCTGCTAATGTGCCTCTAGGGAACAGCAGGTGATAGCTGCCACCCATTGAGTAACCTGAATGGAATTCCTGGCTCCTAGCTTTGACCTGGTTCACTTCAGTTGTTGCAGGCATTTGGGAGAGACCAGTATTGGGAGATATCTATCTCTCCCTGATTCTGAAATAAAAAGGGTACATAAATAAAAATGTGGATACTGAGGTTACAATGATTGTAATGAAATAATATATGCAATAGAAGTATTAAAATCTCCACTGGAAGAAGCTAGTGAAAGTTTTCACACTACCCCAAGTTATTGCTACATTCTCAGACTATTTGTTGATTAAAACATTACCAACATGGGTCCGGTGCCGTGGCCTAGTGGCTAAAGTCCTCGCCTTGAATGCACTGGCATCCCATATGGCTGCTGGTTTTAATCCTGGCAGCTCCACTTCCCATCCAGCTCCCTGCTTGTAGCCTGGGAAAGCAGTTAAAGATGGCCCAAAGCCTTGGGACCCTACACCCTGTGGGAGACCTGGAAAGAAGTTCCTGGCTCCTGGCTTCGGATTGGCGCAGCACAGGCCATTACAACCACTTGGGGAGTGAGTCATCGGACAGAAGATCTTCCTCTCTGTCTCTCCTCCTCTCTGTACATCTGCCTTTCCAATAAAATAAGTAAATCTTTTAAAAAATTAAATAAAAGATTATCAACAGCTTCCACTTTGATTAAAATAGAGCTGAGAGGAAACAGCTTTATCCTTTTACTTGAGACAACCAAAAAACTGGACACAGGATCAGAAAACAATTTATTGGAACTTGAATCTGAAACATCAGCAAATGGTCATCTCTGAAAAGATTGGAAAGGAAAGAGGTAACCTCTGCAGTTGTCACATTTCATGGTTTGGAAGGAGCTGGATGAGGAGCCCAGGCAGACACTAGCAATCCTTCTGTCTGAAGTGGAGCTGGGGGTCTGGGGAGGCCAAAGGTGGCTGGAGTTCAAGCAGCAGAGCCCTGGGAAGGAGGAGCCGCCAGAGGGAGAGAATGCTGGAGAGCAGTAGGTGTCCCCATTGGGTAATCAGCATATTGTTCTCCTTTATTTTTTTTTTTATTATTAATTTCATTGTATTATGTGACACAGTGTTATAGGTACTGGGATTCCCCCCACCCCTCCCCAAACCCTCCCCTATGGTGGATTCCTCCACCTTGTTGCATTACCACAGTTCAAGTTCAGTTGAGATTCTTTCACTGCAAGCATATACCAAGCAGAGAGTCCAGCATCTTATTGTTCAGATAAGTTCAACGGTTTCTTGGGGAGACCATCTCTGGTCTGAAGGTGGAGCCAGCAGAATATCATCCCGATCAATGAAAAGCCCCAACATAACATCAGCAACAATTTATAATGTTATGGAATTAATTGACATGGTATTGAGTAACCAATATGTTTTTAAAAAAATGCAAGTTCTTAACCACATCCTGTGACTTCTTCACTGACATTTCAATTTTAGTTTATATACAATCGAGTTCTATACACCTTAAAATGGCTATGGATTACTATTCAGCTGTCTCGTGTCTATTTTCATTATAGTATTTAGCATTTTATAGCGTTGAAGCATAATTTTGCTGAACCTGGCTTTTTCTTGGGTAGTCTAGACTGACTTATAACTCTAACAAGACATGTGTCAACAGTTAAGGTGCAGAACAGTTTTAGGAGGGGTGCACAGAGAAATCTTCAATACCCTAGTGAGGAGTAACTAATCTTTGTGTCCCACCTAGTAAGATATAAGTGAATCCACGCTGACCGTTTCCTGTCTGATTCTAAGCTTTCCTTGTTGTTCTCTATCTATTCTAGATTTTTTGTTTGTTTGTTTGTTTTGAGGGGGTTCCGGAGAGACCCTGATGGTCATTGCCAGAGAGGGTGGGGACCCAAAGTTGTAACCAAGCGAGGACCAGAGAAAAGTCCCCTTCCTAGTCCAGAAGAAAGTTTACTGTTCTTCTGTTTCTGTGGGCTGCTCAGGGCTCTTGGCTGCTGTTCTGATGCCCTTATTGTTTTCCTTTATAAATCTAATTGTGCTTAGCAATATTCAACAAACTCTCCAAGGCTAGGCAAAGAACTGGCATCAGAAGGAATCAGCTCCGCTATGCAGAGAAAACCAGGAACAATACCTATTCCCATGAAGCAGGGTAGAAAAATACACACTGTTCACAAAACATTAGTAGAACACTTTGCTTCAGTAACATGGTAAAATTAGCCTTAGAGTAAATGCCTTTTCACTCTTGCCTGATAAAAGCTAAAATGAATATTTGTAGTAATGCAAAAATAAATCCAGTATGCCACATTTAAGGAATAGATATATGAATTTTACATAAATTTTTTTTCTAGAAAAATTAAGGGAAGAGAATCCTATACAACCAATTTTATGAAACAAGCAATACTCTAAAGCCAAAGTGAGAAAGGATGCTATTGTTAGAAAAGAACACGTATGCCAATGTCTTTCAGGAACATAGATGCAGAAGTTCTGGATAAAATCTTACCAAATTGAAACCAATAATGTATAGAAGAAACTGAATCAAACAAAAGTAAATTGGGAAATAGACTGTATTCAAGGATGGGAAGACTCAATATGTTAAGATGCCAGTTCTTTGTGGTATTAAGTCAGGCAAAGATTTGCAAGATGTTATACAAGAAGCTCAGCCCATAAAAGGAAAAAAAATACAAGATGGATTAGATTTCTAAAAACTAAGACATTTTACTCTTAAAAAGATGTTATTAGAGAATGTGGAGATACCACAGTGTGATACCACTAAACACCTGTTACAATGGGGAGCCACAGGATGCTTATACATGGCTGGTAGGTGTGTAAAGTAGTTCAATCTTTTTGGAAAAGAGTTCCACATTTTCTTACAAAGATGCACCTGCCATACTTTACCCAGCCTTGCCACTGCTAGGTATTTGTTCAAGAGAAATGAAAAAAAAAAATTATACAGAATCTTAAACAAGAAAATTTCTAACAATTGTTTTTGGTAATAATCAAAAACTGGAATGAATCCAAATGTCCTTCAGAAAATAAACACGTCATGGATAATTCAAAATTGTACTAAGTGGAAAAAAATCAGGCCCAAAAGGGAACATACCACATGATTGCATTTACATAAACTCTAGGAAATACAACTTGATATCAAGTGACAGAAAGTAGATCAGTGATAGGACGGAGATAGGGACAGTTGAATAAAGGGCTTACCATTGTAATCAACTGTAATGAACCATTGTTCTAGTTTGCACTGAGGGTTAATGTCCATGCCTGTCATGAAGGTGGTGAGCTCTGGAAATACTGAGTGGCACTGGCCCACTCCATTAACGTCATTTCTCCTGCTACTACCTTGCATGAACTATGCCTCTTCTTTGGCCACAGAACACCACTCAGGTCCCACCAATGCGCTCTTTTGGATCACAGAGGTTGAGCCCTGGTGCCAAACCACAAAGCCTCCTGCATGAGGGCTCTTGGTCACACCTGACTCCTCCCAACTTAATCACTGCATTAATGTTGGATTTTGATTGGGTAGCATGGCACAATGGAGAGTACCAGGCTAATGGCAGAAGACTGGGATTCTAGCACCTGGTTTCAACTAAATGGCACGTGATTTTTACATATGCCATCATACCCTCCCACTGGGCTTCAGTTTTCTCATATTGTTAAAAATAAGGATCGCAGAGTAGGAATTTCCCCTAGTGGCGAAAACGCCATGTTCCATCTTGCAGTGCCCAGGTTTGATAACCCTGCTCTGGCTCCCAACTCCAGCTTTCTACTAACACAGACTCTGGAAGGAAGTGGTGATGAGTCAAGTAGTTGGGTCCCTGCTACCCACATGGGACACTTGCATTGAATTGCAAGCCCTGGCCCAGACCAACCTGTTACAGGCATTGGAGAAGCGAATCTACAGACAAGAGTGTGCCCTCTACCATCCCTGTCTAAATGAATTATTTCAGGAGAGTTTTAAAAGGGGGATGGCGTTTTTTAAAAGATCTATGTATTTTACTTGGAAGGAAGATTTACAGAGAGGAGAGAGGGAGGGAAGGAAAGAGAGAGAGAGAGAGAGAGAGAGAGAGAGAGAGAGATCTCCCAATCTATTGGCTCACTCCCTAAAGGGCTATAATGGCCAGAGCTGAGCTGATCCAAAGCCAGGAGCCAGGGGCTTCTTTCAGACCTCTGATGTGGGTGAAGGGGCCCAAGACCTTGGGTCATTCTCTTTTGCTTTTCCAGATCATGAGTGGGGAGCTGGATCAGAAATAGAGCAGCCAGGCATGAACTGGCACCCATATGACATGCCAACATGCTGGCCCAGTGGGAATTGCAGATAAACAGATGTTAATCCAAAGTATTATAATATAGAAAAATTATGAATATATTGTTTAGACACAAAGCTACAACCAAAATTATGTAACAGAAGTGCATCTACAAAGATATATCACACACACACACACACACATATACACACACTTGGATTGGTAGGACTCTGGGAGGTTTTTTTTTTTTTTTTTTTCCATTTAAGACAATGTTTTATAGAGGAAAAAACTCACACAAAACTAGAGGAAGGTGTAGGGATTTCACCTATATCTCCTGCTCCTGCACACTCATCCTGACAATGACACACTGCCTGGGGCTCTGAGCTCTCGACTGAGTCCTGTGCAAACTCCAACTCTCTGTTTCATGGACACATGCCGGCACCCCCTGGCTCTGGGAATGTGCAGGGTGACGTGGTTTATGAGACATGGGAGCCTAAAGGCTCCTTGGAAAGGTCCAGACCCTTTCTGTCAAGTCAGAGTCTAAATTCTTCTTTTTCCTTTTGCTGGGGTAACAGGGCATGGGTGGAGTTGTCAACAGATGGTCTGGTCTCAGGAGGCCAGACTTGTCTCTTCCTTGCTGGCAGATGTCCCTCTCTGGGGCATCTGCCCAGCCTTCTACTCTTGTCGCTGATGAATAAGGACACTTAATTAAGATATCTGTGTCAGAGGTGTGGCAGGAAAGGATTTTCTCCATCTCAAGTCTCCAAAGCAGATTAAAGAATATGAACTATAGGCCTTCCTGTGCCAGAAGTCAGAAAATTGCCCTTTCACAATTTGACAACAGGGAACTGATGTTCCCCTAGACACAAGGAAAATGATGCCTCACAAACCATTTCTCCAGGAGGAAATCTCTGGAAGTCTTTCACTCAGACCTAGAAAGCTACAGGTATTGCAAACAAGTATGGTGATGAAATAAGAAGGCTAATTTATTGCTACAGATCTTTTGACCTGTCTCTAAGTTCTTCTTCATTATTAGAAACTCCATTCACTAAAATCAATCCTGCTCAGACAATCTTGATCCTCATGGAATGCAAGATCACTTCTGTCAGGTTCCTCTTGAAGTACCAGACTCTCAGGCCAAGAAGATCTCTGGGTGCAGAATTTGGGACAGGATGCTTTCCACCATTGATTTTCTTCCTGGAAGTTTAAATTTTCAAAGCTGAGAACGACTTATGTTAGAATATGCCTTAGTGCCACATAAGACTCATCTGTGACTTTTCTATGACTTAACGGCATTTTCCCATGAGGCCATGGGCCTACATGGCTGAGAAGGATCCTGGGCAGGGGTAGACGAGCACTCCCCTTTGTAGTTTTGCCCTGCTGCTGTCCCAAAGTCCATAATAAGGAGGACCCCAATGTTTTGAACCCTTGATTTCTGGAACCCTACAAATGTGCCAAGAAGTTTCTGGAATTTGTAGAGCTTAGGATCCTGAGACAGCTCTCCTCTGCTTTCCACCCTCAGTGAGTTTTGTTCTCACCAGTCCTTTAACTACATTCCAAACACTCTGTAACTTCCCCGGTGTCTCCTTCTGCCTTGGGAGAAAAAATATTAGAGCTATACTTAAGGTCTACTTGGAAGAACTCTCTCATCTCAGCCTCCAGTTTACACTTCCTCAGCTGTAGCAACTCTGATCTATCAGGCCTCATGTAATTTTTGAAAAATGTAAGAAAGCTGCACCATTTATTCCCCCGGGCACCTCCCAAGCCTTGGTGTTCACCTGATGGATCTATGAGTCTACTCAACATTGAGTGATCATGCAGTAAATGGGTCTGCTTCTTAAAGTCTTCATATTTGAAACTTCAGGAGCAATGGGGGAGAAAAGGGATCCATGAGGGCTCTTCTACGAGAAGATGCTCCTTGATGGTCTCGGAGACTGAGGGTGCAAAGAGACTTTGGCAGATCACTATGAGTTGCTGATGGAGTGTATTTCTGGATGGCAGCCTGAATCATGATCACCATTATTACTGAACATTTGTTATGTGCCAGGCATCGTTCTAAGAATTTGTATGTGGAATTCACTTGACCTTTATAACAGCAGCTTATTGCCTCATTTAATGGATGGGGGCACTGTGGCACAGGACAAGGTTCAAATGAGTCTACTGTTACAGGACCAGGGAGTGTCAGAGCTGGGGATCAGATCCAGGCAGCCAGCTCATGTCCAGACACTTCAAGAGCAAGCTGACTTAACTTGGGATGACAGTGCCCAGAAAACTGGTATCGGCCATGAGACTAGAAGTCAAGGATAGCAACCTTTGCCCCTTTCAATTTTCTAAGGAATTTCTAGCCTTGGCCTAATTTATTCATGATGATATGTATCTGTGTTGATGGCAAGTTCATGTTCTCTCTCTGTCTTCCCCAGCCAGCCATTGGCAAGAGTCATCTGAACCTAAATGTTCAAGCCACCCCTGGTTACACACACACACACACACACACACACACACACACCTTCTTCTGAGACCAGCAGACAGGTCTGCTAAGCGGCAACATCTAGCAAGCTGTGCCAACTCCTGGCCTCCCTATTCCAGAGTGAGTGAGGCAGGAGCCCTAACTAACTCCCGGCACTCAGGAATACTTGAGGGCTAGGAACCCAGAGTTGGAGGTCTTGAAGGCCCCCAGAAGGCTGAGACCCTCTGAAGAGTGCAGTGGTCTGCAGGCAAAGTTGCTAGTCTGCTATCTCCCCTCCAGCCCAAATCTTACACTGAGAAGCTTACCAGCATCAGGGGCACAGGCCTCATCTGCTTTGGCAGCATTATCTACGTTGTATATATCAGAATCTGGGGAACAAAAAGAAGATGTAAAGACCAGTTCTTGCTTCCCAACCTCTTAAGGAGAGCAGGAGGGGTCCTTCCCATACGCTCTCACTAACATAGGTTGTGTCTGGGACTGGACTGCTGCCAGCAGGGTCCAGGCTCACAGGTTAGCCAAGACAGCTCATGCTCTAGGGGACAATGACTACACCTTCCTCTGACACTCCTAGGTTAGTCCCAGTCCAGACCTATGGAGTAAATGTGCTGTTTCCATGGACTGGCAGCTTCTGCTGAAGGCTCTTATCTGCGTGCCACCCATGAGCTTGGGGTCCTTCTTCCCCATCACAGCAGCGAGGATTATGTCCCCTTTTTAATCTTCTTACTGAGAGATTCATCAGACAGGGATTTCTGTAAGACACCAGGAAGAAAGGAGTTCTCTTGGTCCTGATTCCTGTCCCATTGGGATGTTCTTATACTCAACAGACCCTCAAGGAAAGCAACCTGTGCCCAGGGCAAGGGGTTAGAGCTGCACAAGTCCTCCCATGGCAGGACTGGGCAGCAGGGGTCTATTACCTGAAACATTGGGCTCACGACTGCTGGTCCCCTCCTTGGGGTTGTCTGGGTTCTCCTGCCTGGGCTTCTGGCTGAAGGCCAGGAAGAGATGTGTGCTCAGCGGCTGAGGAAGATCCACCTCCAGGTATGATCTCATGAACAGCTTGAAGACATCATAGCTAATTGGCTGAGAAGGAGCCAAAAGAGAAAAGTCAGTGAGGAGAACAGAGGGGTAGAGAGGAGGGACTCAAGGACAAGGAGTCAGACATGGCTGGTGAAAACAAATGGCAAGAGAGGAAGAGGGAAGTGGAGGAACACAGAGGGGCAGGCACAAAAAGGCCATGGGGGTGACAAACATCATGGGCATTTGGGGCAGGGATGAGATGTAAGAAAAAGGGAATGCTGGTGGCTGTGTGTTGGGGCATGCTTCTGTAATAATGTAAAATATAACTCAAGTTTAGGTTAAAAAAAAAGGTGATAGAGGGGGTACCCAGAGTAGAGGGACTGGCCTAATTCAGGCCCATATGGTTCCTATGAGCAGGAGCAAGTGTAGTTGAGATGAAGAAGGATGCTGTTAAAGGTACCAAAGGATTCTTCTATGTGATCACAGTTTTCCTTTTGTGCTATGAGTGTTCAAGTCTCAGAAAATATGAGAGACCTAGAAGAGGAAAAGACATTCTCCACCCTTCATTTTCATAATCCCTATCTCAAGACCACAGGGAAGTGTATGTGTGCCATGGCAGCATTTCAAAACATGTCCTTGTGAAGGGTTTAGGCACCAGGAGAAGAGCAGGAAGCCAAGGACAGATGGTAGAACCAAGAGACATGCCAAAAAACCAGATCCTCATCCTGCTGTGCCTCTCCCAGTACTGCCTAGCTTCGGGTCCCAGGGTGGGAGCATCAATGCCAGAAGGAGCTGCTGCACTCAGCAAACTCTCAACAACAACACCAGTTTGCAGTGAGTCATCGCTGGCTTGCGCCTCGGTGGCATTGGATTCCTCACCGAATCAGCAGATGTTCCTGGAAATCATGTGAGGAAGCATGACTCCAAACTTGACTGTGCAGGCTTTTGCGCACAATAACAGTCCTGAGGCTAAAATTCCTTGCTGGGATCCTACTTGGTGCTTCCTGCACTATGTTGATACCATTTAACCCCTTGCCTTTTTAAGGAATCGGAGAGCCTTCTCAGAATCTGAGTCTGGCATGTGTGTTCACAGCGAGGTTTGCAATCATAGTATTGGCTCTAAAAATGAGTGATGTCCTCCCTGTCCCACTGGAGGTTCATGGGCCACTTCTGTTCAGCCCCTGGCTGGGTTTTCTACAGATCTCTTTTGCTGAATGAGAAAAGCCTGACAGCCACACCAGGGCAGCTACCAGATTCAGGGGCCCCTAAGCAAATGGTCAACTCCCGTTTCTTGCGGCAGCTCTCCTCACTCTGCCCTTTTCCTGTCTCTTAAATCTCTGGATCCATTTCACACTCTTCTGTCCCTCACTGGACTCCTCAGCCTTATCACCTCAGAATGTCCCTCCCTGAAACATACTTATCCTCGTTTCCCCATACATGGGAACAGCATCTTTTCCTCCTAATTTCCGGATATAATCCTTGCATGATGATCCTTGGTCCCATCTAACTGCCCTGCATCATTTGCTTGTCTTCCGCATGCAAGCATGGGTAGTGTCCACTGTTTCAAAGACACTGGTGTCTCCTAGAGTGACGGCTCTTAGTTCTCTTCCCTTCATGCTTCTCTAGGGAGGATGCATTAGCTTTGTCACTTCTGCAAACCCATTCAGTTTGCATTCTAGCCTATTACCTCTGAACAGGCTCTTCTAAAGGCCACAAAATCAATGGTCTTTTTAGAATTTCTTGGTTTTGCCCTCCCTGGCAGTATTTCATTATTCCCTTTCTTGAAGCCCACCATTTTTCATGGAGTTCTACTTTGGTTCTCTTCATTCTTAACTTAGATCTGATCAAGATATACGGATAGCCTGATTCACCAGTGATTTACTTCAACATCTTCTTTGTGCATAATCATTTGACACATTTTACTTGACAAGCACTACTTTAAACTGCTAAGTTTGAGTTCCAAAATGTTAATTTCTGGGATTACATCAAATTGAAACTGTGAGAATAATGTATTTCAGGAAAACAGACCATCCTAAGTAAAATTAATAAGTATGAATTTCAGTTATACAGAATCCACCACAATATTGTAAAAACACTAAAACCAAGGTTATCAGGGAAGAGTCATAGTAGACTGAGGACACCTCATGACATTGACCACAGCTTTTGAACCAGTTTTTTCTTCAGCAAATTTTGAGTGCTCATGTCCTAAACTTTACTAGCCTCCTCTCTAAATCAGTTCCTCTTCTAGGCCTTTCTCGTAATGCCAACACTATTATTTCTCCTACTTTCAGGCCCAGCTGCGCTCTCAGTTGCCTGATATATGTCCATGTCACTTCCTCCATTTTTCTGCCTGATCAGTCATGCCCAGATTTTTTTCCATGTCCATCACTCTTGCTGCCATCATCAACATCCCTGGTTTCAGATTTTGTTTTAATGTCTCACAGGACCACTGCAATTCCTCTCCCAGGCTGGCTTCCCCTTTTCACCATCCTTCTCTCATCTATCCTATCCATCCTTGCCAGGATGGTATTTCCAGCTCTGGTAGGATCATTTCCCTACTCAGACTCTCTACATAGCTTCTGATTGTCCGTGAGAAATTCAAATCATTTGATGCACAATAACTTAGAAAATAGAAATAGATGCTAGAGACATGAATAGAAGCAGAAGGCCCAATACATAATGTTCCTATGGTTCAATGGATCATCCTGCATACGCTCTGAGACCTTGGGATTCAGACTACCACAATTCCCCTCCAACCCATATTAGTAGCTACTTTAAGCTTTAAGGCCTTTATGGCATTTTATCCTATTATTCTCTATATCTGCCTACACACTCTTTCTAAACTGAAGCTTATGTACTGTCCTGGTCAAGCCTTAATGCACTTTTACTCTGCACAAAGTTCTTCCTTCTCTCCTGGTTAAAATTCTGGCCAAGCTTTAAGGCTCAATCCAGATGTCACGTTTCTCAGGAAATCTAATCAGATCTTTTGTTTCTGAATTTTCATAGCTTTATTCCTGTCTTGTGACACCCCTGTCTGCTGCCCCATGTTCATGTAGGGTAGCTTCTAATACACTTTAGCTTTTCCACTAGCTGCAGAGATCCTAACAGCTAGTGAGGTGACCCTATTTGATTCTCTGTATCCCCTGCATCACCCATTGCAGTGATCTGTCATGAGAGTTTGAATTAGTGTACCTCAGGAATAGCCTGATGTCTGTCCCCCAGCTGTCACCACCTATTGTGGGGTCCATTCTGCTTCTCTCTCTCTCTCTCTCTCTCTCTCTCTCTCTCTCTCCCTCTACACACACACACACACACACACACACACACACACACACACACACACACGCACACACAGTCTCCCAGTGCAAGCCACAATCCTGGGATGCTGGGTGCCAATGGAAAACACACCAGTGAATTAGGCCTTGCTCTGTCCCTTCAATATACTCAGGTATGTACGAGGAGAAGGTACTGAAACACAATGGCAAGTGTCAAAGCAAAGAGTTTAACACTTGAGAGGCTTGATGCATAAAGGGAACTGAATGGATCTCATGATAGCTGATAACACTTAGAGGCCAGGCACCAGGATACCCCACAGTGAACAAAAACTTAGAAAATAGTGCTGATGGAACTCATGGTCATCTGTTCATCTCCCTATCCTGGAGACCAGGATGGCATAGCATAACCTCAGACACATCTAGCACGCAGTGCCAAAGAACCTTGGAGAGGGCTGGGGTTCTCCTGCTGTGAGGATTCAAAAACGCAGTGATTATCCACAGCTAGCTAGAAGTCCAGTAAGAGCATAGGCCAGAGTCCCGGGAGTCTGGCCAATGGAACTCTGCTCCCCCAAGGGCTGTCACTTTCCTATGGGAAGAAGCTGGGCAATAGCTGCTGCTGTGTCCCATTTCTGGGGGTTGCATCTTGATCCTGGCCTAGAAGTTTTGGAAAACCAGATGGTGTATTTACCAGGCATCAGGCACATTAATCCTGAAGTCAACAGTGTGAGTGTGAAATGTTCCTGTCATTGTGGATAGAACAAATTCTAGCCACATACACAACCGGCTCAAGGTCGAGAGCTGGATGTGTGTACTTGCATGTCTGGGCTCAAGCTTACAAAAACACCTGCCACTGTGTCCCCTGGTGTTTGGCCCCTTCTCTGGCTATTCAAAGTCTGTGGATCATCACTTGGTGCTGAAGCAAGAGCTATTTCGTCATGACCAGATGCCACCCTGACACTCCACAAACTTGAACTCCTGTCCTAGTTTTTGTGGCAATCGTTCCTTCCCACAGCAACTCCTTTCTCCTTGTGACATTTTTAGCAGCAGGAAGCCATCAAGTTCAAGAGAAATTAAATCCTGTTGTTTCCCTCAACCTGCACAGTGACATTACACCTACTAGAAGTCAGCTGCACCGTGTGACAGATTGAAATCAGAGTGTGGAGTGATGGAGCTCGCCTGGGATGCAGCAGTGCTAGGTGAACAAAGAGAGGGGAGCTAAGGTGAGGCGAGGGCGGAGTGCCTAGAACAGCCAGACTGCTCCCATGGCCTTCACACCCGCAGAGGCCCTGACCACATTGTTCTCTCCCACTCAGCCCCAGGGCGGACAGGACAGGCTGACGCTCGCCCCCAGTCGCCTTTGTTCCCTTGTTTTTGGAGCTGAATCTGGGATGTAGGGTAGGGAGTTCTTTGCCAGCTCTGCTATCTTCTCTACATGGCTTCTCCTCAGGAATGTTCTATGAAACATGCACTGGCAATCTCGCTTCTGTTCTGCCAGCTTCCCTCCTCCTCCATTCTCTCAGCAACTGGTGAATTCTCCCCAGAGCCTCTCTCAGGTGTACCTTGAGCTCACAGGCTCTGGTGATTCAGTCTGTCTGCAGCAGAGAAGGTAACGACTCAGGCTTGTTTAAGAGATGACAACCTGAATTAGGAAGCGGCCATTCTCTCCCTAAGTGAGTTCTGTTCATTAGTTATCTTTCTGGAATCAGCCCTCCTAAAAGGACCCAACAGCAGGGGAACAAAAATAAAAGGAGTTGAGAATTTGGCCTGCAATTAGGATGACAATTGGAATGCCCATATCTGGGTGCTTGGGTCCCGACTCCAGCTTTTTTGCTAACACAGACCCTGGGAGGTGGGGGTGATGGCTTGAGTAATTGAGTCCCATGAGTCCCAGTCACTCTGGGGAGACCTGGATTGAGTTCCTGGATTCCAGCTTTAAACTCATTCAGTCTCAGCAGTTGCAGGCATCTAGGGGAGTAAGCCAGAGCCTAGAGACCTCTCTTTGTCTCTGTTTCTCTCTAGTTTCCAACTTTAAAAAATTCCAATCCTCATATGTCAGTGTTTAAATTATTTTTAGTTCACAGATGAGGAAAGTGAGGCTTAAAGAGACTAAATTAACATTTAAGGCCATATTTCAAGTTGATTGCAAAGGCAGAAGTTTAAGGGTTATTGCTCTTGAACTTGATTCGGCTAGTGGGAAGAAAGTTCCAGAGAGCAGAAATTATGGTTCTTTACATTTATATCTTTTATGATATTCAACACAGAACCAGGATAGCAAAAAGTGTTAAATAAATTGAATTTGAAAGTAAAGGGAAGTAGTCTGTTCATTCATTCATTGAACAAAAACTTACAGAATGTCTCCTATAAAGCTGAGCACTGGGGGGCATAGCAGTGAGCCCAAATACTCCAGTGGTTAAGACAAACAATTAACTAAGGAAATGCTATGGCTTGGCATGTGGTGGGAAGTGCCAGGGAGAAAAAGAGAGCAGGGCAGGAGGATTAGAAATGTCAGGGAAGAAGGCTTATAATGTTTTATCAAGAGGGTGGCAGTCACTGAGAAGCTGACTTGAGCCTGCACTTGGGAAGGAGGCATGAAAATGAACGGGGGTAGATGTGTTGAGGAGGAAACGTGCAGTAAGTGCAACAGCACTGAGGTGACGGCAGCACTGGCACTTCTGACAGATCAAGGATGCTGATACAGCAGGAAAGGAAAGAGAAGGGGGATAGTAGTTGGACATGATGTCAGAGAAGAGGGAGACGCACAGGCTATAATGACCTTGAATTTGCTCTGAGTAGCAGTGAAGGGAGCCAAAGGAGACTGCTGTGTAAAAGAGTGACAAGGTCTGACATATGCTTTAACAGATTGTTGAGGACATGTGTAAAGAACAGACTTCAAAGGATAAGAACAGAAGCAGTGAGCCCAGTCAGAAGACACTTGGATAATCTGGGCAAAATATAATGATGAACACTGTGGTCAGGACGGTAGCAGCACAGATGGCGAGAAGAGGCTCTCTTGGCACATAGTTTGAAGGTAGAAATGATACAGTTTGCTGATGAATTGAATGTGGGATGTGAGAGAAAGAGAAAAGTCAATGATGACTCCGTACTTTTAGGATGGATAATTTGAAAAGTGGAGTTCTCATTTGCCGAAATGTGGATTACTGCTGGAGACAAGGTTTTATAGGGGAAGATTAAGAGCATCTGTTTTTCTTGTGTTAAGTTGCAGATGCTTATTTGACTTTTAAATGGAAATGTCAAGAAGAAGGGTAAGAGGATAGCCAGAAAAATCAAGGGAAGGAAACAGAGGAGGATTTGCATGATTCTGCTGTAAAATGGCTACTGGGTTTATATATCTACAGGTCCTTGGCTATCCTGACCAGAGGATTTAGTACAGAAGTGGGGTTCACACATGCTCGAAGAGCTTTTAGAAAAGTAGGAAAAAAATCATTTGGAGGCAGTAGGTATGGACAGGCCTTTTGTGTCGTTTTGCTATAAAGGGTAGGAGAGAAATGAGTTAGAATCTGTAGGAAGTAAAGTCAAGAGAATATATTTTTTAAAAAGGAGAAACAGCACTATGCTTATATTTGATGGGAAAAAGTCTAATTTACAGAGGAAAGTTAATGTAAAAAAGATGGACACAGAGACAAGAGAAACAGAATGAGAAGGGAGGATGGGGTGGTAGGATATGTTGTTGAAGCAATGCCTGTGAGAGACAGAAGATGGAACTGGATACGTAAGTGGAGAAATTGGACTTAGATAAAGCACGGAGAATCTATTTATGGCTATCGGGAGAAAATACTTATAGCTGGGTACATGGGGTGAGGGACTTCGTGGAAGATGTTTTCTCTTTGCTTCTGTGTTCTGAACGAAATTAAAAATAGCCATTTTTAAGTGAGAGCGATGAGGGGAGGGTGAATGAGACATGTGGATGGAGGGTAAGTATGACAGTGAAAAGGGTAACTGGGTTTGGGAAATGTACATTTCCGGGTGGTACTAACGGCTCACGAAGACTTAGGGGGAAAATATATCAAGGAGTGAGTTCTTTAAGAAACACTAAGGTCCTCAAGGGCAACAAACTATGGAAGGTTGGAATATAGGGCTTTTAAAGGTTTGAAATGGAAACATTCTTACCTCGCGTGGGTCATATTGTTTGAGGCTTCCACCTTCATTAAATTCAGCCAAGACATCCTTAATCTTCTTGGAGGAATCTGCAGAGACACAACCTATATATGAATCACTTGGATACAGGCAACCGGACAAGAATCAATGCACTCTCCCTGTTTAGCCGCTGTTAGGACACAGCACCGCTCACTCAAATGGAGATCATATGATGAAACATAACCTGTATCCACCCTCTGCTCTCTCATTTTTCTTCAGCTTATTCCCTTACTTGTTGTGTGAATTATTTTTTTAAACATACATCTGATCACACTCCTGCATAAAGCCCTTCATGACTTTTGTTTTCTCAGGACAAAGTTTAACCCCCTAAGCTTAGAATAAAAACCACTTGTTCCTTATGTGTCCACTTATTCCACTTATCAGAATCATCAAGTCCAGAGGGTTATGAATACACTATGCACAGTTTCACAGTATTCCTTCTCTGTCTTGCAAACTTCACCCAATCTTTAACATCCAGCTCAAATACCGACTCTTTCATGAAGTTGCCGTAGGTACCTGCAGAGTTAATCACTTCCTCCCAGCTCCCAGATACCTTGCGTACAGCTCTGTACTGTCGTACACAGCACTATAATAATCTAATGTGTAACTATGTTCAAAAGAACACTATGAAGATGAATGTATGAACATGTGAGCAGAAATTTTTTTAAGATTTATTTTTACTGCAAAGTCAGACATGCAGACTTTGTATATCTGAGAGCCAGAGGGAAAAATCTTCCCCACTGATTCATTCCCCAAACAGCCGCAATGGTGAGAGCTGCGCTGATCCAGAGCCAGGAGCCAGGAGCCTCTTCCAGGTCTCTGACATGGGTGCAGGGTCCCAAGGGTTTTGGGCTGTCCTTGGCTACTTTCCCAGGCCACAAGCAGGGAGCTGGACGGGAAGCAAGGTTGCCAGGATATGAACCGGCACCAATATGGGATCCTGGCATATACAATGTGAGGAATTTAGCCGCTGAGCTACTGCACTTGACCCGTGAGCAGATATTTCAACATTAAAATAAGAAAATCATTAATGGTAGAAACATTAAAGCCCAGGGGCCCTGTCCTTGGTGCTGAACCATTGCTGCCCATCAAGCTGCTATTTCTTCTAATTCTAGGATATCTAACAATGCTATTCCTGTATTCTAAATTTTACTTTTCTGTCTTCATGGTGGTAGGGAATTGAGCTATTCATCCTGACACGAAAGCATAACCTCAATTATACCATATAATTAGCATGCCTAATTTAATGTCCCTATGGTAGTTCTATCGTATTTCTGATAGAACGTCTCTGGATGATGAGCTGTCCCCACTAGCCCATGCTTTCCTCTCAATGTTCCCTACATGTTACATTTGTATTTTAAGAGGACAAAAACATACCCAAGGGATTCCCGAAGACTGGTGGGTTAGAAAATGGCTTTTCATAGGAAATAACTCAGAAACTGCTAGAGGTAACAATGGCTTTTTTAAAAAAAAAAAATAAGGCAATTAGGATCCAAGAAAGGGGTCCTGTAATTATTGGAGCCATACTTTTAGTGCACCATGCATGATTATCAGCACTCCAGAATCATAAAGACCAGAGTCTCTGTGGCCTGTGCACATCCCACCTGGTGGGTAAGAAGGAGCTTCCAAGTTCCATTATAGCTGCAATTTAAATACCCGAGCAAAGGGCAATGTCATTAAAGCATTACAGAGTGTTCTTTGCTGTCCAAGCTTTTTGTACAGGGAGTTCTGGTCTCTTAGGCTTTGGTAAAGCAGGTGAACACATGGGGTGGGCTGTTGTCCATGACCAGACTGATTTGGATTTTTATAAAGCAGAGGTTTGGATCATTTCAGGATGAGAAAATACTAAAATACCACAGAGAATTCTGCTGTGGCCCAAAAAAGGACACATCTTTCTGAAATTCAAAACAGATGTTGAAAACCTGAGAGTTCAGTAAGATCCAGGCAGCAAATGCCTTCAGTTTGAACTATTTCTATTAAATCCAGAAAACAGTAAAGATGGTACAATGCTGCAAAGTACTGTTAATGTGCCATTGGAGAAGCTGGTCTGAATAATTGTGGTAATCATAGTTACCCCCTCACTAGGAATCTTTGCTTGCATCTTCTCATAAACCATGCCCTATCAATCCAGGCCAGATTTGGTAGTGTTTTGTCTTGGAGATGAAGCAGCTGGGATTCAGAAATAAGAGCCAGAGTTTGAACCTAGGTCTAGTCTGGATCAAAAGTATGTTACTTTACCCTTAAGTTTTAGTTCCTATTATTTCCACACCATTTTCAGCACAAAGACGAATCTAATTAATGCTGTATTAAGCTAGGAAGTTCTAAGAAATACTGAGCTAAAAGAAGTAAAATTTGGATGAAAATGGCATTGAGAAAGGGATGTCCTGTGAAGGAGGTATCATCTGATCTGAGATGTAAAGAATGAGTAAAGCTTTGAGAGAAGAAAGACATGAGGAGGAAGGGTTATTCTTGGGAGGTTAACCGTGAACAGGCACGTGAAGATGAGCAGCACTGAACACTTGACTAAAGTTAGTGACAGAGTGAGTTCTTGAATGTTAAGTTAAAGACATAATGTGGAACTGTTCAAGTTCTTTCTTTTCTTCCTTTTTTTTTTTGTGGAAGAACATAATGAAGTCTCTATTTTCATAAGGCCTCTCTGGGATTAGAAATAAAGAATTAAGAATTAGGTCAGAGCTCAGTTAAGGTCACAAATATACTCAAATTATTCTATAGGCAGCTTAATTATCTTGAAAAAAAAAACGATTTTAATGGAAGTTTTCAGCTCAGAGTAGCTAAAGTTTTAAAAATGCAAATGGTATGACTTCTGCAAGAGTAGTGAATAGTCAGCATTTTTTTTTTTTTACTGAGAACTAGGGAGTGATTTAACTATATTTATACACCTTTGATATTATCATCACATTTTTAAAAGTTCCATAGTTCATGATTGCAGCGATTCTTTGGTTCTAGAAGTGCTGCAAAGTCCTTCTTTATATTTAAATCACACACACACGTCATTGCTCATATTACAGAAAACATTTTAAAAAGAAAACATAGGGAAGACATCTATCTCAAGAAATCTGATTAACATTTTGAAAAGAAGTTTAAAACACAATCAAAGAGACTTCTGACTATCTCTCTGTGATGGGTAGGTAGGTGGAATGATTCCTCAACACATATTTATTTCAATTTAATTTTTGGGTTTTATTGCAAATATCATCAATAATATTTTTAACATCCGGAAACAACCTAATCCTAAATTTTAGACACATCGCTTTCCCTCAGCGTTATGACAGCCCTATGTCAGCTTTCCTTTCAGTAGGGTTCTGGACAGATTTCTCTCACCCTGAGGAGTAAGTGGGTGCTCCACCTGGGTAGTCAGCTTTGAAGATTATTGTTCTATTCTGCCTTAGGACCAATGAGAAGTTCTTTTGGATAATCCCCTGACTTCATTACAGGTACCATCCATGAGCTCCAAAGCATAACCTCAGTGGCACACTGCTCTGTTGGGGCCCAGATCACATCCCACCACCACTGCCACCCCCGCACCTAGAAAACAGCACATTTAATTTCCAAGTGTGCAAAATAGGGCCAACCATGTTCACTGTTCTTTGTCACAACTTTGGTTTTGTCAAGTGCTTATTATATGCTCAGTACTTTCCTGGTCACTTTATATGTTTTACCCAAGCCTCCATACTTAGCCTCTAGTGTAATAATATTTCTAGAGAAGAGGAAACTCACAGCTTTGCAGTGATTCACTCTACCACAGATCTAAGTAAGGTGACAAGCTATCAGGTTTGTTGGACACAGGAACATTGGTATGGCTCTTCCTCTGGGACAGTGGCACTCAAGCCTGGTTGAATGCTGGAATCAACTAGGGAACCCTCGACACACTAAAACCAAGCCTTGTCCCAGATTGGTTAAGTCAGTATCTCTAGGGAAACCTCTGGCATGGCATGTTTAATAGCTGCCTGAGAAATCCAATGTACAGTCAATGTTGAGGACTGCTGTTGTGTGACATGATTTTATTCTTGTAAGTAAAGACCATCTTTTTAAAAAATTATTCATTGGCAAACCAAGTTATAGAGACAGAGGTTTTTCACTTACAGGTCACACCCCAAATGGTTGCAATGGTCAGGGCTGGCTCAGGCTGGAGCCAGGAGCCAGTAACTCCATCTGGATCTCTCATATGGGTAACGGGGGCTCAAGCACTTGGGCCATCTTGCAGGAGTACTGAATTATCGCCAGGGAATGGAGCCAAAGAGGAACAGCCAGGACTAGAGCAGCAACCACAGCAGAAACAGTATCAGACCCAGTAAAGGCTATCTTAAGAAGAAACTAAACTTGTTAAATAATCATTGCTAAAGGGGTTGAGGGGAACAACCTTGTAATGTACTAAATCTAAAATTCCTTCATTACTTGTGCTCACTTCGGCAGCACATATAATAAAATTTCTTCATTACTTAAGTGGACAATACTAAATAATTCAATCTAACAGATTAACCTTTTCATCTGCTTGCTAAGGCAAGGGTCTTGTCTTAATACAGATTTGTAGGACCATCAGTGACCAGTTTCGCCATTTGGAAGATTCTTTTATGATCAAGTTGCACCAAGAAGGTTCCAATCTAGAATCATCCCTTTTGTGCCAAGAATTATAAGTCCTAAATCAAGCCCTTCATTCCTGATCACATCAATGACTTTATAAGGAAAAAAACTGGCACTTCTCACAAGCACCTCAGATGGGGATATCTTTCATCTGAACAAGCAGACAAAACAAGAACATCAGCGTTCACAGCAGATCTTTAGCTGTGCTGGGCCAGAATCACAAGTGTATAGACTGTCCTGTAGGTAAGAACTGATAAATTCCAGAATAACCATCAGTGTTCTCCAAGGCAAATCTAAAACCCGTATATGGCAAAGAAGTTCTAAGAGATCCAGCATGGTGGCTCAGCAGCCAAATCCTCACCCTGCAAGTTCTGAGATTCCATGTGGGTACCAGTTCTTGTCCTGGCTGCTCTACGTCCCATCCAGCTCCCCACTTGTAGCCTGGGAA